TAAGATTTGAAAAAATAGTCAATGTCATTAGTCCGTGGGAAAATGTACCACTACACACCTATTAGGATGGCTAGAAAACAAGCAACAAACATTGGAATAACAGTTTGTTAGTTTTTTATAAACTTAAACTGACTTTTAACATAGAACTTAGCTATTCCCCAACTAGGTATTTGCCCAAGAAATGAAAACCTACATTTATTTAAAGACCTGTACTTGGATATTTAGGGTTAGGGGTAGTAGCATTATTTATAGCAGTGTATTCAACTGTTAGAATGGATAAACAAATTGTGGTATATTCATACAATGGAGTACATTCAGAAATTAAACGGAATAAATACTAATAGATATAATAGTATAGATGAATCCTCCCAAACATTATGCTAAGTGAAAGAAGCCTGACAAAAAAGACTACAGACCATATGATTCCATTGGTATGACATTCTGGAAAAGGCATTAAAATCAGATCAGTGATTGCCTGGGACTGGGGGTCAATAGACCTGATTTCCTAAACACACACACACAAATCCTTCATTCCCAAGGATGGATATTTATGGTAGGGAGACGATCAGACAGTGAGAGGCGCTGAGACAGCTATGGTGTAGTGGAATGAGCGCTAGATTCACTGATAATAGTAGTGCTACTGCTGCTAATTAATTCTGATTCAGTAGGTACAATGCCAGGCACCAAGCTGATTACTTAAGAGCATCCTCACTGCTAATTTTTGTGGTGATTCTAGGATTAGACACTATTATTGTCATTCCTATTTTAGTAGAAACTGAGGTTTAATTGGATTTAAACAAGTTGCCCACAGTTAACACAACTCGAGAATGTATTCAAACTCTTGAGTATTTGACACCAAAATCCATGTTCTTAAATAAAAGAGTGTAAGTTCCAGGAAGATACGGTATTTTTGTTTTTGTTTTTGTTTTCACCACTGTATTCCCCAGAGTCATAACCATGACAGTTGTATAATGAGTATTTCTTGAAAAATTATTAGAGATCTCAAATTTTGGAAAGTGTTAAAAAAACAGAGGAAGGTACAAAGAAGCCTGTATGAAAATAAAGATGATTTTTTTTAAAAAATTTTATTTATTTATTTGAGAGAGAGAATGAGAGAGAGCACGAGAGGGAAGAGGGTCAGAGGGAGAAGCAGACCCCCCGCTGAGCAGGGAGCCCGATGCGGGACTCGATCCCGGGACTCCAGGATCATGACCTGAGCCGAAGGCAGTCGCTTAACCAACTGAGCCACCCAGGCGCCCAAAGATGATTTTTAAATTAGTGTATTTTAGTGATTAGACTGATGTTTTTCATTTAAGCATTTATCATATCAAATGACTTTGTGTTAAATTGTGTTGTCTATGTCCTAATAAAATCTGCTGTTTTAAAAAGTGAACAGAGTATTATAGAGTAGGATTTTATAGTTGATTCTAATCTTTCTGGTTTTGTAAATTTTTTCCATCTAGCAAATCTTGGTGGCAACCAGGTATAAGATCAGACCAAGTCAATGTTATCGGTTATAACTAAACTACAAGCCGTTCCTGTATGTGTGTGTGTGTGTCTAGAAAGTCTACTTCTAGGACTCTCCTAGTTGGAAACTGATCATTTCCTTTCCATAGATACATAAAAATATTTGCTTGTAAATGAATAATCCGGTTGATCTCATCTGTAACCTGGTTCCCTCTGACATATTTAATACTTAGTAGGCTGAAGTTTAGAAGGAACATTTATTTTTCTTTCATAGATAAATGTGTATCAAGAAGAAAAAGCACTTTATCCAAAAAAGAGTTAATTGGAATGCAGCTAGAACAACAACAGCAAAAATAGCAAGCTTTATAAATCATCTGAAATAACGGTCATACATTTTGCTCATAGGAAATTTCCTTAGGTCCTTAAAAATCAGAACCTATTTATACAACATTTCATTTAGGCATTTTATCATTTCAAATGAGCTTGTGTTGAACTGTGTTCACTATGTCCTAATAAAATCTGTTGTTTTTAAAATATGAATAAGCAATGTTCTCCATTTTAATAACTTTAGTTACTTCCTTTCTCAACCTTTAAAACAGTTAAAAAAAAAAATGCTATAGTTCCTGAAAGTAGACACATTGAGAGCAGTTAGGTTTAACAGGTGATAGCCTGTGAGCAAGGAAGCAAACCAAAAACATACGAAATAAGCACAAAAATTCAAAAAGTAATGTAGTGTGGGGGCTATTTATTATAGGGACAAACAACCTTTTACCTCTTAGTTTCTGAGAAATTGACCATATTAATATAAACATACAAAAGTCGATGTTCATTTTATTAAAATATAATATACTTACTAGTCATTATAACAATCAAGCTATGTATACTTTGTTCATTTTCAGAAATAATAAATATATAATATGGTTTCAAAAATCAAATTTATTGAAGCATATTTTACGGACACTAAAGTCAACCAATTTTGAATGAATAGGTCAATAAGTTTTAACAAATGCATTCAACCATGCAATTACCACCATTAATTAAGATATAGAAATTTTTGGTTACTCCAGAAAGTTTTCTCCTCCTTTGTAGTCATTCCCCATATACCTCCATTCCTGTCCCTAGACAGCCACTGATCTACTTTTTGCCATTAAAGATTAATTTTGCCTTTTCTAGAATTTTGTAGGAGAGGAATCACACAGTACACAGGATATACCCTGTTTTCTCTGGCTTCTTTTTCTCCATGAAATAATTTTGAGATTTCTCTATGTTGTGTTTATTAGTACTTTCCCTTTTTATTCTTGAATAACATTCCATTGTATGGACATACCAGAGTTTATCTGTTCACCTGTTTTTGGATATTGGGTTGTTTCTAGTTTTTGGTTTTTATGATTGAAACTGCTATTAATATTCATGTACAAAGCTTCCATTTCTTTTGGGTATAAATATCTGGGAGTGGTATTGCTAAGTGTTATGGAAAGTATATACTTAACTTTATAAGAACTGGCCAAACTTGTTTTTCAGAATGGTTGTACCATTTTACATGTTCACCAGCAATGTTTGAATATTCCTTGCTCTACATCCTCACTAACCTTTGATATTGTCAGTCTTTTTAATTTAATCATTTTAGTGGATGTATAGTTGTAAGTTTTAAAAGATTTGTATAGAAATGCAACAGATTTCTGCATATTGTGGAATTTAAGAAACAAAACAAACAGGCAAAGGAAAAAAAGAGAGACAACCAAGAAACACACCCTTAACTAAAGAGAACAAACTGATGGCTACCAGAGGGGAGGTGGGTGGAGGGATGGGTGAAATAGGTGACGGAGATTAAGGAGTGCGCTTGTCGTGATTAGCACAGGGTGATGTATGGAAGTGTTGAATCACTATATTGTATACCTGAAAGTAATATAACATTGTATGTTAGCTATACTGGAATTAAAATAAAAACTTAATAAAAAATATTTATTTTCCATGTAGCTAAAATCATGGAAAAGTTTAGAGTTGGATAATGATAAACTTTTTATTATCAGTAAAATTTGATAATCCAGGGACGCCTGGGTGGCTCAGTTGGTTAAGCGTTTGCCTTAGGCTCAGGTCATGATCCCAGGGTCCTGGGATTGAGCCCCACATTGGGCTCCTTGCTTGATGGGGAGCCTGCTTCTCCCTCTGCCTGCCACTCCCCCTGCTTGTGCTCTCTCTCTCTGACAAATAAACAAATAAAAATCTTTTAAAAATTTGATAATCCAGAATAATTTTTAGAAGATTTATTTATTTGAGAGAGAGATTGTGAGCTGGGGGGGGGGGTGCGGCGCAGAGAGAGAGAGAGAGAGAGAATCCTGCTGAGTGCAGACCCTGACATCATGACCTGAGCCGAAACCAAGAGTTGGCCGCTTAACTGACTGAGCCTCCCAGGAACCCCAGAATAATTCTTTTCTTAAAGCTTGTATATAACTGAGATTTCAAAACAATGTAAATTTGCATCACATACTTCTCAGCTCTATTGTAACCTCCAACTAAGAGTAAGCAAATAGTCCAAGTTTTGTAATAGAATATCAGATAATTTGGTGTCTTTTGTTTTCAACTTAATGTAATCAAATTTTACCTACAAAACTTACATATCTAGAAATTAATACATATTTTTAGGGGAAAAGGTATTCTAATGATAATGAAAAAATATTCTAATGATAATCATGGCCATCACTCATCAAGTACTAATTATATGTCAGGCATTATGCTAAGGGCCTTATATGTATAATCTCATTTAATTCTTACCAAGTGAGATATGTATTATTATTTCCACCTCACAAAGAAGGCAATTATGGCACTGAGGGATACGAATTTCACAAGGTTAAAAAATACTTGAGTCCATAGACTGATGAAAAAATGAGTGAATCAGGGGTGCCTAGGTGTGACTCAGTGAGTTAAGCAGTCGACTCTTGATTTTGGCTCAGGTCATGATCTCAGGGTCCTGGGATTAAGTCCAGGTCAGGCTCTGCAATCAGCAGGGAGTCTGCTTGAGGATTCGCTCTCGCTCTCCCTCTGCTCCTCCCCCTGCTCACGTGCATACACACGTGAGCTTTCTCTCTCTTTCTCTCTCTCTAAAAATAAATGTCTTTAAAAAACAAGAGTGAACCAGGGCAAAAGGAGGATAATCATGTAAGAAAGTAGCCTTGTTTTTTTTAAAAACAATTTATGTTATGGACTCGAAAATCCTTTAAGTTGGTTCTGATGACATTGGATTATTTAAAAATGAAAGTATTTACTTCAGAGAACTGACTGACCCCTAAATTTTTCACAGTAAGTTGTAATTTAACTTTTTGATCTTTCTAGTAATTTTTTTTTACTTACAATATAAAATTTAAGTGTTTTTGATTAGTGTAGAATTAAATGCTCTCAAGTATATGCCATCATAAGGATTTAAAAACAAGTTTATGTTGAATAAGAAAAATATTATCATATAATACAATTTTAATATGTATCTAGTATGTGAATGATTAATGAAATATTTGAATCTTTTTTTTTTTTGTACCCAGGAAGGTTATGTTCAAAGGAAAAAGGAGCTATGGGGAATCTGTATCTTTATTGCAGCAGTTGACCTAGATGAGATGCCATTCACTTTTACTGAGCTACAGAAAAACATAGAAACCAGGTAAAATTTATTATATCAATATAGGCCTCTGCCATCAAAGAAAAGTATTTCTGAACTTTCCTCTTAATAGACTTTAGAGAACTAGTGAGAAATGCTAAAATTAAATAAAACTTTTAAAGGACTTAGGTCAAACAGTGAACTGTCCTTCTCTCTTGGAGCCTTAATGAATGTGTATTTATGTTATAGTTTCTCAAGAATGTAGAGTTTGTGTCCTGGGAAATTTTTCATCATGTCTCCCACTTTCTAGAACTTTCTCAATTGTAGCTGTTGATAAAGTGGACAAAAAGAGCAAGGGTTTATAAAGTAGGCTTATTTAGATTAAAATTTTTATGAAAGTGGTGTGAGTCTATCTTAAAGGAATTTAGTTAACATTTATTAATGTTTAAGATTGCTTCATATAATACATGCATAATTATATATTTTTTGAGACTGTATATTCAGCTGAGTTTCCATAATTACTCCAATAATTGTTTGTTGTTGAGCTTATAAGCTTATAAGAAGAATTTACTAATTTGTTTCCAATAACTCCTGAACTTTATCTTGAACAGCTTTGTGGGACATCCAGTCATTTCATTTGCAGCATATTTACAAACAGTAATTATGTTAGTAATTATTTACTAACAGTAAATAATTTTACTAGAAAGGTAGTAGTATATATTTCTTCTTGGATAAAATCATCTAGAATTAAACATAATTAGTATTTTATTTATATGAGATAAATTAAATTGCTGCATTTTTCAGTAACTCTTTTTCTTACTACCTCTAAATAAAATGTGGAAACAAAGACCTTGTATATTCATATTTTAACCTATCAAATTAGAATTGGTTTACCTCTCAGAGATTTCAGTTTTATTTTATTCATAAAATTACTAAGTCAAAATAGTTTTTATATAGCTGAAAATTATGTAAGTAAATTTCTACATTAATTTATACATTCATGCAGTAGATGTTTCAGTGGCCTAGAGGATTGAAAAGGATATGAATGTTTCAGTTAAGATAGAGTGGGTTTAATAGGTCTCTGTTGTTTTACAAGCTATATGACCTAGAGCAGATTGCTTAGCTTTATTAAGTTTCAGTTTCCTCATCTGTGAAATGAAAATTATTAGCTATTTTATAGAATTACGAGAATTAAATAACTTATAACGAATGGAAAAGTAAGTAGTTTATAGAAACAGTGCTTGTAACTTAACCATAGGTATTGATGAGGTCTTGATCTCTTTCCTTCTGTAGACCACCCCTCCTTGCCCTTCCCCTGCAAAAAAAAAAAAGAAAGGAAAGAAAAACAGTTGTTAGGCTCTGTGATACTGTGCTAGGTTCTAATGATACAGAGGTGAGAAATAGTCTCTGAGCTCAAAAATTCATTCCAGTGGGAAGATAAAATTAAACAGATGGCTGCAATACAGTGTTATAAAGCTATTTATAGACTACTAAATAAATATGACAGAAAGGCTATTAAATCTTTTATCTCCAAGATGAAAGAATTTTCCTGGCAAAGCTTTTCCTAAACTTTTTTCCTGAATGGAGCAACACTTATAATTGGGCATGTCATAAATAATCTCCCTACAATAAATATAATAGTTTATTTGTTACAACTTTTTCTTAGGTCATCTCTTTGTTCTAATAACTATCCAGGAATGGTATCTAGACCACTGCTGCTTAAATGTGCCCTGGTAAAGGACTTTTTTTTCAATAAGTCATGGACTGACATTTAAAAAATATATAATATAAATTAAGTATTAGAAAAATGAAAGAAAAAAAATTATACTAACCGCAGGACCAAACTTTTTATTATTATATTCAGCACCATAAAATTAGTGTTAAATTGCCATAAAAGTTTTTATATGCTTACTCTCAATTTCTATATTTATTTAATTGTGGACAGATAACAAAACATATCAATCCATGGAGCACTGCTGTAGAATAAGTAGTTATTTTAGATTTGTGTGTCTTAATTATGGCTCTTTATGCCTGCTTTTCATCTCTGTAGCCTTCCCTCTTCTCTTCTTTCCTTCAGAGGAGGGCTGCAGAAGGAATAGAGACTCACTTAAGTTACCCCTAGAAAAAGGTGACTTTGTAGTAACAATTCAGTTTCCATGGTGCTCCATAGGTATTGCTATATTATCTCATAAAAACTGGAACTGAGTGTGCTTCTTGAATAAATGCTTTTCTGGGGTTGATTTATTTTTCTCTGAAGGTATCTAGACATTTACTCCATTCTCTTTTCTCTTGTGAGCAGCATCATGATCATCTACTCCATATCATTTCTACTTCTTTATTTGCTGTTCCATGTAGCTTGTCATGGCTGCCCCAGTCCCTTCTATGTCACAAGTGCTTTAATGACCTTCTCTTGGGTTCTTTGTTCGCTGCTCATTAGCTGAAGCTTTTATTTTTAGGGTTCTTGAGATGAATGTCTGAGTGGTCCAGCCCATTTTTTAGAATGAAGCCTTAACTCAGTTGCTGGAGAGTGTATGGGTGGGTCTTGTGACTACCCTTGAGTTCATTTAGCTGCTTTGGTATAATTCCTTAGACAAACTTGATTAGAAATGAGTGTGTGAGGTGCAGTTGATGATTGCTATGTTTAGTGCCCTATTTTTTTATTAGTGAAAAATGTATGAATATTTCAAATAGATTAATTTTTTAATAGAAAACAATAAAGAATAATTTAAAGTCATTATTTAAACAACCTAAACATTTTAATCAGTTTTTCTTTTCCCTTCCCCAACAATTCAGTCTAAAACCATTGGTGGGTGAAGAAAGTAGGTATGTGCATCTGTGGTAGGAGAGAGCATGGGGTGCAGAGAAGGATGTTAGAGCCCAAGTGGGTATTCACCTGGATGTAGTTGGGGGTGAGGGTCCTGATATGGGCTGCTTGGTGTGCAGTGTCAGAGATCAAGCCGGGTGTGTGGGTAGCCAGACCACATGTGAAGCGAGTGCAGTCTGGGCTGGGGAGTCAGAACCCTACTAGGGTGAAGAAGATGTCTATGTGGAGGGGTCAGGGCAGTCTAGGATGGGGAGTCATTCTGAGCAGGAGAGGAGAGTGCCCATGTGGGAGAGTGGGTAACTTTGGACATGGAAGGTAGTTACATGCAGGGCGATTGACTAAGTGAGTAAATAAAGATAAGTGGATCCCAGCTTTCTCACTATCAAAGAAGAGTTATAAATTTGAAAAGGGAAACATTAGAATAAACCATGTGGTTTTATGTTGGAATTGGATAAATGGATGTGAACTTACAGTTTTCAAAACATATAGGTAGGTGCAGAAATAAATATGTATGTATATGTCTATCATAACAACCCTTTTTTTGGTATAAATAGATGTAGGCATAGGTATATACATATAGGGCTGTAGGTTGAAGCTAGTTGATTTTTACTCTTCAAACTAATAAAATGCAAAAAGTAATTCCTTCCAAAGAATATAATAGTGATTTGGTATAGAGCTAATAAACTTTTGAATTGAAATGTCTATGCTTTGAAAATGAAATAAAATGAATTTTTTCAGTTACAGATTCAATTTTTTCTATTCCTTTCTTTGTAGTGTCTGCAAATTCTTTGATTTACTAAAAGAAATTGATACCAGTACCAAAGTTGATAATGCTATGTCAAGACTGTTAAAGAAGTATAATGTATTGTGTGCACTCTACAGCAAATTAGAAAGGTAAAGTAAAAATTTTATTAGGATTACACCCCAGTTTTGCATGTTACTGGTGATGATTAGATTCCATCTGGGAACTATATTTAGTAAAGTTATTAGGTATTACCCCGTAGATTTGTCCCCTTTGCTGTTAGTTTTTTTTTTTATAGGTTCTTAGCTTTCTTTTTTATTCAGTCATATGCATTATGAATGTTTCCTCCAGAATTGTTATACTGTCCTTTCATATTTCTCATTTGTTTTAACAAACTTTAAGACTTTAGTCTTCTCTGCCAGAGACTTTCAGTTCTCAGTGGAAGAGTGACCTAAATTTAAGCTTCTTCCTAATGGTGTTATTTAGTTTAGAAAGAGAAAAACATACTGGTAGTACAAGGTGTACATGACCTATACTACCAAGCTATGATTTGTATTCTCAGTGGTGTAAACGGAGACTTTTCATTCCTTTTAACTGGGAGAAAGATGAAATTCAGATAAACTTGGGTTTTTAATGCACTTTTCATCCACGTCGCCACTGCCACTGGTAAAATGCCACATCTGGCATGTGGCTGTTACTCTGTTCATTGTGGGGCTCATTTCACTTGGTGAGAATATATGAAAGTTAATATTTTAGCTAAACAAATAGTTGTAAAGGGAGAGGGAAGAGTATTTTGGGGAGAATGAGTATGGAGATAGTGCTGGAAAGAAGCATCTTCTCAGAAGGATGCTTCTGTTTTCCCTTTCCTTCTTTTTGGTTGGTATGTCACTAAAACTTCAGAGGTGTGATAGAGGATAAGAAAAGTGGAGAGAAAAATCAAGATTGGCCTATGGCTTTTAAAGGAATTTTTCTTGCTCCTCGTTTTTAATTGTAATAAGGTTGCATTGGCCATCATTATTTTCTTTTGTCTTTTCTTGAATAGAGTAAAATCTATTTGCACAAGAAAAAAGGGATTTTTTTTTATTATAATAAAAATTTGTATAAGGAATGTAGACTATAAAGCACTTGGAAAACACAGAAGAGCATAAATAAAATATGAATCACCCTAAATTTTAATACTGGAGATAACTAGTTTTCATATTTAGAATATTTCTTTCTTTTGGATATTTTATGTAAATTATATATGGTATATATAATTTTTTCTTTTTTTTTTCTTTTTTAACCTAACTGGGACTTTTCTGAATGCTTCTGTCCCTTAAAGTTGTTTATGGCCTTTTAACTCATATCTTGGAACTTATCCTAAGAACGTTATCTTAAATACAAAAAAGCTTTAGAAATTTTTATCACAATATTATTTAAGCCAACGAAAAGCTGGAAACAACCTATTTATGCATGACTGAAATAAAGAGTAAGATATAAATATCTAAACACTAAATATTATAAATGTAAAATAAAATTTGCTAAGGAATATTAACAATATGCAAAAATGCTTCTAATATTAAGTAAATATAAAATTTGATGAGGAATAAAACAATATGAGAAAAATGCTTCTAATGTTAAATAAATAAAGCAGGATATACTGTGATTATAACTGCAGAAAGAAGTTGTATGTATTGAATGAAGTTATGTATTAACACTAATGTACTGAATGATAGTAGCTGAAAAAGAAGTACCAAAATGTTAACCAAGGTTTTGTATGAGTAACTTGCATTTCTAAAGAGGATGTGTTACCGGTATAATAAATTAAGCAAAAACTTCTCTAGGTCAATGTTTAAAAAAAAATCTATTCTGTAAAGACTAGTACCTCAAAATCTATAATTATCAGGTTATTTCTAGATACAGAATTTTAGTGAGAATGATTTGGAGTGCAGTCCTGATTTTTTTTCCTGCTATAATAATTTTAATTAGATACTTCTAGGTTTTTTGCTTCACTATCTGAGATCAGAAATCTATTTGGATATTTATTTCTGTTTTACCTCTTTCCTTTACCCTTCATACCTTCTAGTGATACATTGTATTTATGATTCTTGTGGGGGCTAAAGGAAGTTAGAAAGGAAAGTTAGAAAGTGGAATATTATATGGATAATTCTGAAGTATTTGAGTTCTTCCTACCTCCCAGGCCCTATGTTTTTCCTTTAGGCCAGTTTTTGTAAAACACTGGCTGTTTCAGATTAGTAAGTAGGGTTCAAGGTCAGAGTTCACAAAAATTTTCTCTACAGTAGTAGTCTGGTATGATGCCCTACCAAAAAAGAGAGGCTCTGGTACAGTTTAATGTTGAAGAGAATGGAATCTTTTGAGTCAGACAGATTTGTATTCTACTCTGGGCTCCAACATGTACTGTGTGATCTTGGACAAGTGAGTTACCCAACTTCAGTGCTTCAATTTCTAGAGTACAAACGAATTGATAATGGTGCCTACCCTGTTACGTTTTTTAATGTATTAAATGAGATAATGCAGGCAATGCTGAGTCCAGAACCTATAATAAACATAGTAAACTTTCCACAAATGTTTTCGTTTTGTTTTTTGTTTTTCTTAAGTAAGCTCTATACCCAACGTGGGGCTTGAACTCTTTACCCAGAGATCAAGAGCCACATGTTCTACCAACTGAGCCAGCCAGGTGCCCCTCCAGGAATGTTTATAAAACAAAAAAATTTCTGGCCCAGTTTGGGAAAATTTACATACTATACCCACCTTAAAGAGTCAGACTGTACATTCACAACCCAGGGTTCTTAAAAGTCCTGTATAATAAAACATGTTGAATCTGTTGAGTTTATCGTTTCCTAAATGATTAGACTACTAATATATGTTTATATGTATTTAACATCAATTAACTTCTGGAAATAGTGTTTGTAGAATATTCTTTAAGAAACCTTAGGCTATGGGCACCTGGGTGGCTCAGTTGGTTAAGCGACTGCCTTCAGCTCAGGTCATGATCCTGGAGTCCCAGGATCGAGTCCCGCATCGGGCTCCCTGCTCGGCAGGGAGTCTGCTCCTCCCTCTGACCCTCCCCCTCTCATGCTCTCTCTCTCTCTCTCTCATTCTCTCTCTCAAATAAATAAATAAAATCTTAAAAAAAAAAAAAGAAACTTTAGGCTAGCTATCAGCTGTTTACTGCAAATAAATTAAGAAACTACAACAAGCATTAACTAAGTGGCTGTTAGTACTCAGCTATAAGTTAGGTGCTGGGGATACAAAATCTAATGATACTATGATTATAGTAAATGTAGTAACTAAATTATATTTTTTAATAAAAAAAGTGCAATGATGCATGTGATGCTGTATTGTAGAGGATTATATGTGGGAAGTAGAAATTTCATAGTGGGCAAAATATTGTGTATGTTTAAGGGCAAGAAGGGTAGTTATGGGGTACTTTTGATCAAGTAAAAACTATAGGAGAAGGCAATGTCTGAACAGGTTTAAGGATAAATTCACCAAGCAAAATGTGTAGGAACTGGGACTGCGCTTCCCAGGCAGAGTGATTAACATGCGTCCAAAGGCAAAGCAGTAGCATGGTGTACTGATAGCTGAAAGGTAGGAAGGGATCAGACCGATAGTGAGCTTGGACTTTGCCCAGCAGACAATGGAGTCATTGCAGGGTTTTAAGCTGGGAATGACAGTCAGATCTCACCTTAAAAGATCACTCAGGCCTTTGTAAAAGGGATTTAGAATTTTTATTAACTAGATATATTAGATAATTTAGTGTTTATTGGCCTTAAAGTGGATTGGCAGAGTTTTTTGTATCTTATTTGTACCTTTTACTGAAGAGCAATTAGGAAAATTAACTGTGATATCAAAGCCTGTTTATTTCAGAGCAGACTGTATGTGTGTGTGTGTGTGTGTGTGTATATATATATATATATATATGGCAATATGCCATAGTGATTATGGTCACTTTAAAAAAGCTAAACAGATCTAAGTATGAATATTACTTTAGTCATTTACTGACTGTGTGAGCTAGGAAAAGTTACTTAACCTCTCTCAACCTCAATTTCAATCTAAAATATAGCCAGTAATACTTTCCTTGTAGGGTAATTGTGAGAATTAAGTAAGACAGTGTTACTGGTTAGCTCACCTTCTAGCACATACTAAGTGTATAATAAACGGTAGTTTTTTAAGTTTTTATTTAAATTCTAGTTAGTTAACATGTAGTATAATATTGGTTTCCTATTGGTAGAATTTAGTGATTCATCACTTATATGTAACACCCAGTGCTCATCACAAGTGCCCATCATCCATCTAGCCCATCCCCCACCCCCCACCCCTCCAGCAACCCTCTGTTTGCTCTCTATCGTTGAGTCTCATATGATTTGCTTCCCTCTCTTTTTTTTTATTTCCCTTCCCCTATGTTCATCTGTTTTGTTTCTTAAATTCCACATATGAGTGAAATCATATGGTGTTTGTCTTTCTCTGACTGACGTATTCTGCTTAGCATAATACTCTCTAGCTCCAACCATGTCATTGCAATTGGCAAAATTTCATTCTTTTTGATGGCTGATAAATGGTAGCTTTTAAAGTTATTTTTAGCTTCATTAATGCTGTCACAGAGAAATATAATAATGTAAGCCATGAATTTTAAATATTCTGGTAGCTACATGACAAAAAGTTGAAACAAGTGAAATTAATTTTAACATTTTATTTAACCCATATATCCCCAAATATTTCAACACGTATCATTCACACAAAAATTTGTGCGCTGATGTTCATAGCAACATTATTCATAATAGCCAAAAAGTGGATTATTATTCATAAACGGGAATAAAATACTATTATATACTATAACATGGATGAACCTTGAAAGCATTAAGCTAAGTGAAAGAAGCTAGACATAAAAGTCCATATAAAGTACACAAAAGTCCAAGACAGAATGTATAGTGATTGCCAGGCATGGGGAGTACTGCTGATAGGTATGGGGTTTGTTATGGGGGTGATGGAAATATCTGGAATTAGATAGTAATGGTTGTAAAACAAAGTAAATATACTAAAAATTACTGGATTTATACACTTTAAAATTAATTTTATGTTATATGAGTTATATTTTAATAAGAACATGAAACTAATACAAAAGTTATTAATGAAATATTTCACATTCTTTTTCTCATACTAAGTACTTTTGAATACTTTGGTGTGTAATTTACATTTATAGCACAACAACATTTGCACTAGCCACATTTTAGGTGTTCAGTAGCTGCAAGTGCTTGTGGCTACCATATGAGCACAGATTTATATTGAATGCAACTATCTTTCACTGTATGATAGCATTTTATCATGAGCTTTGTCTTTAAACAGTTTTACTGTGATATATCTGGTGTGGATTTCTTTATATGCATCCTACTTGGAGTTTATATTTTTTGGATGTGTAGATTAATGTTTTTCATCAGATTTGGGAAGTTTTCAGCTAATTCTTTAAATATTTTTTCTGCTCTTTCCACTCCCCACCCCCATCCCCAGCTCTCTTTCTGGTACTCACATTACACATGTATTGGTATATTTTTTGGTATACCACATTTCTGTGAACCTCTTCATTTTTCTTTTTTTCTCCTCTTCGTTCTTCATTCAACATAATCTCTTTTGACCTATCTTCAAGTTAGTGTTTACTTCTTATGCCAGCTCAGATCTACTGTTTAGACCATCTAGTGAATTTTTCATTTTGGTTCTTGCACTTTTCAACTCAAATTTCCATTTGGTTCTTTTCAGATAATTTCTCTTTATTGATATTCTCTATTGGATGAGACAATGTCAGAATACCTTTCTTTCTTCCTTAAGCATGGTTACCTTTAGTTCTTTGGACATATTTACAGTAGCTCCTTTGTAGTCTTTCTCTGTTGAGTCTAGCACCTGGGTTCTCTCGAGTGCAGTTTTTTGTTTTTGCCTGCTTTTTTCCCATGTAGAGGTCATACTTTCCTACTTCTTTGCATATTTCACTTATTTTTGAAAACTGAACATTTTTGATAACACCGTAGTAACTTACTCTAGATACTGATTCTCCTTTCTCTTGGGGCTTTCTGTTGTGGTTTTTTGTTTAGTGGCCTAGCTGTATTATTTCAGTGAAGTCTATTTGTCCCATAGTGTGTAGCCTCTGATATTGCTCTTCAGTGTAGCCATTGGGCATGTGGCAGTTACTCTGAGGTGAGTCATTTTCAAGGGGTTCTCTTTGACACTCTTGTCCCCTGATCTCTTGTTAATACCTAGCTGTTACCTTCCACTAATTGCTGACTGTTTTGCTCTTTTTGACAATACCCCACATCTGAAATTGCTTCACAGTCTGATCCAATTAAATTTGGCTCCCTTTGCAAGAATAGGCTTTGAGGTCAACCTTGAGGCTTGTTCTTTTTCCAGGAGAGCTCTTCTTAGCTGTTTATTCTCCTGGTTCTTTCTTAGGTGGTCTAGAATTTAGCTTGTTGCTTTCATAGAACTGCTAGCCTCCTCTTAACTTTCTCACCACCAAAATTTCCATTGTTTTCAATAGCACTTAGCCTTGAAAGTCCCCACACTGTGTTCCAAATATAGTTATTACCTTGGAGAGAGCTTCAGAACTCTTTTTTCTTGGGGTGCCTGGGTGGCTCAGTTGGTAAGTGTCTGACTTCGGCTCAGGTCATGATCTCGGGGTCCTGGGATTGGGCCTCGCGTAGGGCTCCATGTCAGCTCTCCTCCCCTCTACCTCTGCTCTTCCTCCCCACTCTCCATTCTTGCTTTGTGTCTCTCTCTTGAATTTAAAAAAAAAAAAAAAATTCTTTTTTCTTAAGACTTGCCTCTCCCCTGGACATCATTTCTGTGCCACTGCTCGGGAGGTCAGAATGGGGACAGTGTCCTCTTCTTTTGGAATGTCACCTTTCCTTTAAGAGTATCACTGAGGGGGTGTCTGGGTGGCTCAGTTGGTTAAATGGCTGACTCTTGGTTTCAGCTCAGGTCATGATCTCACAGTCATGAGATCAAACCCCATGTCTGGCTCTGCACTGAGCTGAGCATGGAGCTTGCTTAGGATTCTCTCTCTCCTCTCCCTCTGCTCCTCTGTCCCTGTGCACGTGCACACGCCACTGTCTCTCTCAAAAAAACCCCCAAAACTTAAAAAGGGGGCACCTTGGTGGCTCAGTCAGTTAGACATCTGCCTTTGGCTCGGGTCATGATCCCAGCGTCCTGGGATCAAGCCCTGCATAGGGCTCCCTGCTCAGCGGGGAGTCTGCTTCTCCCTCTCCCTCTGTACATATTCTCTCTCTCTCTCTCTCTAAAAAAAAAAAAAAGTGTCACTGAGAAGAGGTAATAGTCCCTGGTCTTCTCAGATTGCCTTTAATGTCTGAAACCTCTGTCCTGTGAACTAACTGGGGTAAGAGAAGTCAAGGCCCCAGTATTGATCTGCTGTGCCTGGAAGAGAACTTTTGCACTATGAGTGGGGGCTAAGTGGAGGAAGGGAGCCCCAGACCCCTCAGCTCCTCTTGCCTGGGACAGACTTTCTACAGCACAAAGTTTGGGATGATTAGAGATGCCAGTCACCTTCCTTTCCCAGAGTGATAGTCCTAGGCTGGGAGCTGGGGAGAGAGGGAGTCCTGTGTCTTGGCTGCACCTGCCCAAGGTAGAGCTTTATGATGCTGAACTGGAGAGGAGGAAGTGAATTTTGCTTTGAATTCCACAGACTATTTTTGTTTTTGCCAGGAGTTAGTACATTTTCTTGAAAAAATGTTTCCTTTTTTTGCTGTATGCCCTTAGGAGAATTTCCAGAGACATTAAATGATTTTTTAAATAATTTCAACCAATTATAGTTATTATACTGGGAAGCAGGTCTGTGGAGATGCTAATTCCTCCATTGTCCTAAACAAACAGGGTTTTTTTGTTTGTTTTTTAAGATTTTATTTATTTATTTGACAGAGAAAGAGAGCACAAGAAGGCAGAGCGGCAGGTAGAGGGAGAGGGAGAAGCAGACTCCCCACTGAGCAGGGAGCCCGACATGGGGCTCGACCCCAGGACTTGGGATCATGACCTGATCTGAAGGCAGATGCTTAACTGGCTGAGCCACCCAGGCGCCCCAACAAATAGGTTTTATAGTACTTTTGAGTTATTTTAGTGAGGCTAATAGTTAAGTAAGCTTTTATGACCTGATCTGGGATTCTAACTAGATCAAGATTTAATTACAAAATGTATTCTGAGTTACAAATGCACATACGGAATCCAGTCCTTTTGTAATTAGATATTACAGTGATATGTGAAATGCCATGTATTGGAAAAGTTTACTTTAACTTTTTAAAATAATGCTATATTTTTTTGTCTTTAAAATGTATACTTTTTTTTTTAAGATTTATTTTGGAGAGAGTGTGCACATGAGCGGGCGGGGGGTGGGGGGCAGAAGGAAAGGGAGAGAATCTCAAGCAGACTCCCTACTGAGCTTGGAGCCCAGTGTGGGGCTCCATCCAACAACCCTGAGATCAGGACCTGAACCAAAACCAAAAGTTGGACACTCAACTGAGCACCCCTAAAATGTATACTTCTTGAAATAATATGAAAAAAGCATGGTAAAATTGATTTCTAAATCATGAAAAAAAATTTAAAATGACTTAAAAAAAAAGCCATAATGTTAATATAATTATTTCTTCCTTTTAGGACATGTGAACTTATATATTTGGCACAACCCAGCAGTTTGTAAGTAGTTCAGAGCAAGTTATTTTTATCTTTCTGGTTTTTTAAAAAATTTTTCTGGAAGAATCCCAAACATGTTGATAATGCCAGGGTTAGTTTGATTGATTATAGCATGCTTTTCATAAATTAAGGTCATAGATTTAAACCCTATGCAGATTATTTATCTTCTCACAAAGAAAATGGTATGAAATATGGGCCCTTTACTACAAGGAGAGCTAATAGGGTGGAAGTAGATTCAGTGCAACATATCACCAGTTCTGGGAAAAATGCAAATTCACTGAGTTAATCTTTTTTGAGTGTCTGTTATTGTCTAATATTGGCATTTTATTAACTTGATTAAGACCAAGAACATAGTTTTTGTGTAAGAGTAAATGTGACAGTATATATTAAAATTTCCAAATTATTTTTTTAAATGTATGATACATGCTCCAACCGTATACCCAATGAAAGAGCTCTAGAGATTTTCTTTGGAAACAGAATGAGTAGTATATGAGATTTTCTGCCCCACTGAACTAGAGGTATTGAAGATGATTGATATAAAGGGAAATTATGTGTTTATTAGTTATATTAATCTATTCCAGTTGTTAATATCAACAGGTTATCAAGGCATAGTGTTAAATTGGTAGTCATCCAAACCTCTATTTTTCTGCTTTAGTGTTGATTTTAATTAGAAAGCAAGGAACAGAAAAGTATTAAGTAATTGGAAACCAAGTACATCATAGTATACCACTTCTTGTGCATATTTTTAGATTATAATTGAAATATTAAATATTTCCTTTACAAAATATATACTACTCTATGGGCTAAATATAAATATCTTGGTAAAAACACTAACTGAATTGAGACAAATTGAGTTACTTTGTAAATTGTCCATTTAAAATGGATTGTATTCTCTTATGCAGTCAATTTAGGCCTATAATTTAAAATAAGGAAAAAGAAGAGATATTTGGAAAACTGTCAGTATAAAATTTTTTTTCTGGTTTCTATTTGTTTACTAGGATATCTACTGAAATAAACTCTGTGTTGGTGCTAAAAGTTTCTTGGATCACATTTTTACTAGCTAAAGGTAAAGTCATTATGTTTGTTACATGTTAATGTTTCAAATGTAATAATTCTTTTGGACTAGGTTCAAAATTTTTTATTCAATTTAATGTTATTCCCCCACACTCACCAGTTCTCTGTGTGGCTTGTTACCTGTTAGCAAGTTCTTGTAATTCTGGCACTGGAAGCAACTTTGGAAATGTCTCATTTCATTTCTGTTTCTAATATCCTTTGAAAATCCTTCTTCCTTCCTTTTTTTTTTTAAAGAATAATATTACTATTTTTATAAATATGGTACATATTCATGATACAGAATTCAAATAATACAGCAAATGCAAAGAAAAATGTAGAAAAATTACCCCAAGCCTACCCATAAATAAATAAATAATCATTAAAATTATATGATTGTTATTTCAGGTGTATTTTTATGCATAGAACCTGATAAAAAAGATTGGAGATGTGTGCATGCACAAACAGATCTAATTTTTTAAAAATAGGATATTATAGTGTAACATGTAGTAAACATACAAATTAGTTTTACTCAAACTTTACAGAAGAAAATAAACAAGAGAAATGGGAGGAGTTGCTTAAATTTAGATAAATTTTTGTCACGTAAGCAGTATTATTTCCTAAAATATTTCTCTAAGATTATGAAAAAGCACTGTTAAAAAATTAAGCTTAGAATCTTTATTTTACTTTGTGTTTTGATTTAAAGTAATATAAATCTTCTTTGAAGGAAAAGGATGTTAGTACAGTATTACCACTCTTCCTGTCATCTCCCCATCCATCACTTTCAGATTTGCTCATTGTATTATCATTACATTATCAAAGATCATAACATTTATATTTCATTCTGTAATTATAATTACTTGTTTAGTCTCACTTCTTTATGTCAGTGGATTCTAAGCTTATTGTCATTCCTGTTATAACTTCTCCATTTCTGAGTTCTTTATTTTGATTCATCCTTAGCTGGCTGGCTTTTACCAGGAAGGAATTTTTCAAAAAAGGCTTTTTGGCACTATATTCCCTATGTTTGTCATGTTTATGAATCATGCGCATAGTCTTTATACTTGAAGGACCACTGGGCTGTCTATGCTATTCTTGTGTCATACTTGTTTTCCTCAGGACACTGTTTTCTGGCATTGAACAATGCTGTTGAGAAATAGGAGTATGTTTAATTCCCCCCCCCATTTACTTTTGAATACTTGATTTTTTTTTAAATTTGAGGTTCAATACTTTAACTAGACTATCTCTTGATTTTTATTATTTCATATTAGTTTTTCTTATGACACTGTATCTCTTTTTAAACTGAAGGTTCTGCTCTTCATTTGAAAGACGTCTTAACACACAAATTTTTAAATGTTATTCTATTCAGTTAGGTATTCTATTCTGTTATGTTTCAGGAACTTAACTATCTTTTTTTAAATTTTTTTTTGAAGATTTTATTTATTTGACACAGAGAGCACAAGCAGGGGGGTGGCAGGCAGAAGGAGAGGGAGAAGCAGGCTCCACGCTGAGCAGGGAGCCCAATGTGGGGTTCCATCCCAGGACCCTGGGACCATGACCTGAGCCAAAGGCAGATGCTTAACCAACTGAGCCACCCAGGCGCCCCAGAAACTTAATTATCTTATGTTGGATTATTTTTGTCCTCCATATTTACTTTCTTTTCTTGTCTTATTTTGATCTTTCGTCTTTTCTTATTTACTAACTGTTTTTGTCTCAAGTCTTCTGTTTTGAGCTAAACTATGTTTTTTCATTATTATTATATTTGTCACCATACAGGACATCATTAGTTTTTGATGTAGTGTTCCATGATTCATTGTTTGTGTAAACTATGTTTGTAATGGTGTTATTCTGTCCTCACTTTTTCCTTAGCTTTTTGTTGTTGTTTTTATATAATTTGTTTTTTATTTCTTAGTGCAAGGAGTTGTAGGGCATTTTCTTTTCATAGATTATCTTCTAGATTGGGTTCTCTCTCTGACTTTTTCTCTTCTTATGTTGTGACTCTATTTTTTCTTTTCTTTTTTCTTTTCTGTTGTATGTTTGCATAATCTCTGTGCTTCTCATCCTCTCTCCCCTCCCCATGTTACTAGGACTTTATGTGGGCAACGCAATTTCTCTGATGTGGTTGGTGTGTGATGTTTTCTCTGATGTAGTGTGAATAAATCTCTTTACACTCTCTTTGCATTTTATCTTTGGCTAGTTGTGTTCCCCAAAGAGCTACAATATAAATACGGGCTTTTTATTTTACTTACTTTTAGTTTTAGGGGGTGAGGGAGAAAGTGGAGAATTCATCTGGAATGATATGAGTCTTTGTTGTTCTGAGATTTTTGTTAGAATGAACTCTAAAACAGAACACTGTAGTGATAATTGCATCCTGTTTCCATAATGGGATTGTGTTGGGATTCATATTGGTTTCCAGTTCAGCGTAGCGCACCGGAATCTCTGTGTTTGTCAGAAACTTAGCTATCAAAAAAAAATAACAAAAAACAAAACCAACCCCCCCCCAAACAACAACAACAAAAGAAAGTTAGTTATCGTTTTTTTCCTGTTTTACCCTTATCCCATCATCAGCATTTCTCCTCCCTCCAAGTCAGAAGAGGAGGAGATGAGGATACTCTGAGTCAGTATCTCTTAAATTTTGGTGTTGGTACTGACACTTAGCCAGTACAGTTTTTCCTTTTATTTTATTGGGTATTGGAGGAGAATTCTTTGATCTGACTTCACCTTACTACTTTTAACTGTAAATCCTTGATATCATTCTTTACTTGTAAGGCATTTCTTAATAGCTTCTAAGTCTGTTACAAACATATGTTTGCACTATACCTATGGATCTAAAAAACCTGCCAGATGCAGGGTTATCTGCTTTTTCACATAGTTTCTATACCTTCAGTATTTGTTGGGATTAATAATGGTTTAGCAGTCAGATACCAAGAAGATAGAAAGTGAGCCAAATTAAACTTCTAGAGCAACAAGCAAATATAGCTATATTTGATTATGATTTATATAGCTACACTATTTTTTTCCTCAGGTATTTATTATATGCATTCATTTCCTCACAGCTCTCCAGTTGTATATTTACTGTATTAACTTTTTAAGATTTTATGCTAAATAATTACTTTATAGATGACTTCAGTTATATGTTAATTTTGTTATTAATGGCTTTGTTTGTGGTAATATTTTATAAGGGGGTTAAAATCGAAAATATGTGAGGTTTCATAAATAAATAGAATTAAAGATTACCATGTAGCATACTTCAAAATTATTTTCAGAAGTAATAAATTCTATAGCTCTTACCAAAACTGGAAATAAGTTTAAAAAAGCAAAAAACAAAATGAATTTAGATGTAGGGAATGGACTATAATAATAATTGCTAGATGTCAAAATCTCATGGTAGACTTATACTTCATTTATTTCGTAACTTCATGTACTTTTATTTATATTTTTATGTATTTCAAATCCGAGTTTTTGCAAAACAAAAAAAAAATTAAGTTCTTTAACATGCCTTTATTCTTGAATAAATCAGTATATGCATATGCCCATACCCACAATTTTCCCTGATTTAAAGATCTCAATCTCAGTCTCTGATCTGTTACTTTACATTGTAAACCTATTTTATTTTCAGGGGAAGTGTTACAAATGGAGGATGATCTCGTCATCTCATTTCAGTTAATGCTCTGTGTCCTTGACTATTTTATTAAACTCTCACCTCCTGCATTGCTTAAAGAACCATATAGTAAGTATTTTAAATAATTTATGCATCTCCTACATCATTACCCAACAGTTATTTAATGTCAACTAGGACCAAAACATGGTTCTAGAGCTGAAGGAATGATAAAAAATAAATCAGACATGGACTCTGCCCTCAAGTATTACAGTATATAGAAGTAGAGATAAAACAAGTAAGCAAGTAAGCAGTATATGGCCACTTTCTAAGTGGTCTGGGCCAAAATACAGTAAATGCTATGAGAGTTCAGGAAGCAAGAAAGATTTTTAGCTGGGGAAGACCAAGGAAGACCATGTAAAAGAGGTGGATTTGAACGGAGTATTGAAGAGTAGATAGCATTTGAGTATTAGGGGAAGTTGGGGTAGCATATTCCCAGTAAAGAGAAAGTTAAGAGGTAAGGCACAGATATGAATGAAACTTCTTGAGAAAGAGTGGCCCATTCTGCTGGAGGAGATTACCTAATTTGTATTATTGGATGCTATGATTATTATGTGACTAATTTTTTTTTGCATATGAGTTGTAATTGATCTACCTCAGTGGGTGATGAGGTGGGAAGTGTTCTTAAATGAAAGTAACTGTTGCTAAAAAAAATTAAACGTAAAAAATAAAAGAATAACCCTTGCTGAAATAGATAGCATTAAGCAAAGATGAGTATATTCCTTCTAGAATGGAATTGCTTCTTTTAAGAGGTGGCATCAAGAGTAGAATTTCAAAATCACTTATTATATCACAGAAAAATGTAAACTTACCTAAGGCTGAACTGATTCCTTGGTCCTAAAATGATTAAAGTATTAATAATACTAAAAATAATAGAGGACAGATCAAAACATGGAAGTCTCAGTGTTGTTGGAAGTGCCTGAAAAGCTGAAGCCTAATTAATCTTTTTGAACAATAACTTCATGGAAAATGAAGTCTGGAGCAGAATTTTTAAAATGTGTTGAACATCATTTGACAGAAAAAGGTCAGTAGCAGGAACTACATATGGAACAGGAGAAAAAAATAGAAAACAAATATATTTTTAAAAATTCTGAATCTGTAAAGATTATATGTTTTTTCTTCACTTTTTTTCAATATTATAAGTTTAATAAATTGATGTAGGATGTTACTTTAGTTGACAGGTATTGTTCTTTCGGATTATTTGAAAGTACATTTTAATTTTCTAAGTGTTACGTTAAAGAGAAACCAGGATGAGGTGATAAATTTACTGAGTAAGGTAAACTTCAAATTAACTTTTTATTATGGAGAATTTCAAGTGAATACAAAGGTAGACAGTAGTATAATAAGCCCCATGTACTTAGATTACCTACTTCAACATATAACTTATGGTCCATCTATAGCCCCATCTGCTGCCCAGGTGCATCAACTATATTATTTTGAAGCACATCTTGCATACCATTTCATCCTTATAAATTTCACTATGTATCTTTTTAAAAGGCATAATGATGACTACCATTGTCACACCTAAAAATCACTTAGTAGTTTCTTAACCTAATACCACCAAATATCTAGTAAGTGTTCAGATTTTTAATTGTCTTATAAAAGTGATTTTAAAACTTTTTTTTACAGGTTGACTAAATCAGAATCTAAATAAGATCTATATCTTATGATTGGTTGATACACTCTCGAGACTTTTAAAAAACTTCCTTCTCCATTTGTCTTTCTCTTTTTTTCCTTATAATTTATTTATTAAATAATTAGGTGGTTTATTCTGTGGGGTTTCTCGTGGTTTAATTTTTTCTGATTACGTCCTGTTGTATAGTTTAACATGTTCCTGTATTCTCTCAGTTTCCTGTAAATTGTTGGTCAGGCCTGGAGGCAATTAATACTTTTCATACTTAGTCATCTGTTATCTCTTTAATAGCTGAATTCATTTTCAGTTTGAATTGGGAATGCTCAAAATAATACAGGAGATTTTTTTTAAATCACCCTTTATCACATAATATTTATATACTTTTTTTAAAAAAAGCATTATTTACTATGGTATTTGCTTAAACTTTTAAAATTTATTTACTTTTATAATTTGTCTAGCAGTTGAATCCATAAATAGTTTTTTTAAGACTCTTTAAGATAGAAAACATTTTTTCCCCTTACAGACCGAGTAGGATACATTTAGAATTAGTTTATAAGTTGGCTGTTTCCCTTGCCTTCTCCATATTTGCCTAATAGCAAAAACTGTTATCAGTACATAACTTAAAATAGATAATCAATAAATAGATGTAACTGTTAGCCTTTTAATGAAGCCTAATAAATAAAAGCAGCATGTTACTAAAATTATTTCTCATCTCCCAAGTTAGAATACTTCATTATTTTATACAGTGGAATGTGCAATTGTTCTTATCTAATTTACCATTTTTACAGAAACAGCTGTAATACCTTTTAATGGTTCACCTCGAACACCAAGGCGAGGTCAGAACAGGAGTGCACGGATAGCAAAACAACTAGAAAATGATACAAGAATTATTGAAGTTCTCTGTAAAGAACATGAATGTAATATAGATGAGGTAATTTAACTTCATGATTTCTTTAAAATGAAGTAGATTTAGATGTAAGTTCTTCCTAACAGTCTATACTTCTTTCATGACAAGGTTGCTTTTGTACTTAGTGCCAATTCTTTTGCAGCAAAATATTTAGAAAAAAATTATTTTTCATGTTCAGTTACTTTGATTTTAAAGAGAGCAGCTCCCTTACTCAGGAATCACTGAAAAGGTACATCTTTATGGCAGTATTTTTCAAATGAATTTGTTCTTTGATTCCTCTGTGGTTACTGATAACTCCTAATGTTTTAAAATACCCTAAGAAAACCCTGGTGTTTTGGTTTAATGATAAGTAATATCAGCATTAAATTTCTGTTCATCCTATCCGCTCTTTCCAAATATTACACCAGATGTTAGTGGCTGGTAGAGAATACACATGAACACCCTGGGATTGTTTATCTTGGTCATAGAATGTGGACTTTTGGGATTGGAAGGGGTCTTAGGAATAATGTACTCAGCCTCCTTTTCGTAATGAGTAAATGAACTTCCGGAGATTGATAGCTAAACTAACAGGGCTAGACTTTGGGAAATCTGCTACCAGTTGCTGCTTTCAGTGTACTATGCTGTTGCTTTGTCCACAGTTCACTGCCACCAGATAGCTGTGTGAAATGTTGCATCTTTGAAATTTCTCTGTCAGCTCTGGGAGGGAATGGAGTATGATCTCAAAATCTAGTTTAAGAAGCGTTGGAGTGATTTATCAGGATATCTTAATGTCAGCACTGTGGCTTTTGTCAGTTTCAAAAAAAGATAGATATACACCTGTGGTTGTAGATGTATCAGCCTTATACATATAGGTTTACTTTTTTACTTTTCTAGAATCACAAATAATCTTTGCTAATAAGCTCACAAATGTAGTTGAAATATTTTTTTTAATCCAGTCTATTGCTAAGTCCCTCAAGATAATGAATATACATAAATGCAGTTTTCTAATTCCTGGTTGTTAATTCTCTGGGTTTCAGAACTACTTATAAGATTTCATTTCTAAAATCAGGAATAAGTCATTAAAATTTTTTTCATTTTAAATAACTCTTTTTGTAATTTAGAATATTTATAGGAATTATTTTTAAAGTATAGCTGATTAAAAACTATGGTAGTAATTGACATTAATTGACACTTGGTTATTTAGATATAGCATTTTTGGTTATATAACTATTGGTTGGTTACATTAACGGCTATATAATTATTGGTTAATTAACACTAAATGGTTAGCTAGAACTACCTACTTTATAAATACTCCAGTTCAATGGGAGTTAATTAGAAAACAAAATTAATAAGTTACAGAAGCCTAATTCTTGCAACTTACTTTGAAGAAGATATGAACTGATAGTATTTCCACCTTAATAAATGTAGACTTCAAATTTGGAAAAGTTAAATAAGTAAGTTCTTTAAAATTTTGTAACATTGCAAGTGTAGAACAGGCAGGAATATGCCTCCAGGTTTCCTGATTACAGTCTTTATTATCCATGTTAAATAAATGTAAGGTGCTTTGGTATGAAACTGCATCATTTTACAAAATATTGTTATTTGATTTTTAATTGAATTACTGGGTATTCTTTACGTGTGTGAAATTATTTTCTTGTAAAAACAGGCTATTCTCCTGAATTTTTGCTAAAATAATTGACTTGATATTTCCTTAGCTAGCTATCAGATGGTGAGTGTGAAGTGGCCTAAAAATATGCTGTAGGGAGAAATCAGAAACAGTATAGAGAAGAGTCTTGACTGTAATGATAGCTTGGGTTTTAATTCCAGCGCTGCCCCTTCCTCCACTTCCTAGCTGTGTAACTTTGGTCAAGTTGCTTAATTTTTTTGAGCCATCTTTTCATCATCTGTTAAATGTAGAATATTGAAGTTGGTTTCAATGAGTTTCCTTCTTATAAATCCTATTTCGTTAATAGTTCTCTACTACACTTCCATTCTAAGACTTAAAATCCTCCTCACATAAATTAAAAAGTAAATAATTGAATAATTATAAATATCACTAGGTTGAATGTAAGTCATTGATCAAAATGTCAGTTAACACTTCCATTCTAGTGTTAATATATTGCGACAAAGGTTAAGTTTTTTTAGTTTAATGGCTATGTTGTAACTTTATCTTTTTCAGGTGAAAAATGTTTATTTCAAAAATTTCATACCTTTTATGAATTCTCTTGGAATTGTAGCTTCTAATGGACTTCCAGAGGTAATCTGAAAGAAAACTTAATTAATAAAAAGTTAATGTATTGGGGCGCCTGGGTGGCTCAGTCGTTAAGCGTCTGCCTTCGGCTCAGGTCATGATCCTGGGGTCCTGGGATCGAGCCCCGCATCGGGCTCCCTGCTCTGCGGGAAGCATGCTTCTCCCTCTCCCATTCCCCCTGCTTGTGTTCCCTCTCTTGCTGTGTCTCTCTCTGTCAAATAAATAAAATCTTTAAAAAAAAAAAAAAGTTAATGTATTTTGGGACTTTTGGGAGGGAGGAGTAGCTGTCTAGTTTCTTAAAATTACTTTTTCTTAAATATTTTTTGCCCAAGGAAAGAAATCTAAGGAGCATTTTGGTGAACCAACTTTATATGAGTAACAGAAAAACCTTTTGAATATATATTCAGATGTATAAATAAGCAGCATTTGTAATTTGCACTAAAAATTGATTTGTACTAAAATTTTTCAAAAATCAAAGTGTAGGCTTTTGAATTTCTGAATGCCATTATATTTAAATATAACTAAATATGCACAATCAAATTTGATTCTCATTTGCTATGCATCCTTAAGCATAGGATCCATGGATTGATGCCATCAACATGATTGGCATTATTGTATTGTGGAGCATCTCTTTTGAATATTTTAAACTACCTCATTTAAAATAAATTCAGTTGAAACAGCTATGATTATATTGCAGAAATGTTTTACCTTAGTGGTGTGCCATCCATCTATCTGTTTCTTTTCACATCTTGCCTCAAATGTCTTGCTCTTCAATGAGAACAGAACAACTGAGAACTTTATGTGGGAAGATGAAATATGTGGAGAAAAGGATGCTTAGATAAATGAAGAACAAGTACTCAGGGATAAAGCAATGTTTTAGAAGTACCTGGCATTAGTTACCAAGACCAAAAGACATGAAATCAGATAGCTAGTTTGCTGATTCTGTGACCCAAATTGGTGACTAGTTCTTGAATTAATAAACTTACTCATCCAACAGTTATTTGTTGAGTGCTTAATATATTCCACGCATTGCGCTAGATATTATCCATAAGAGATTTAACTGACAGTCACTGTCATTAAGGTGTTAGTGGGAGAAAAACAAAGAAAGAGAACACTACAGGAATCTGCAGGTGTCTGGTAGAAGTATGCACAAGTTGCTGTGGTATCTCAGAGGAGGGCCACCTAATCCAAAGTGGGGCAGATTGGTTTTGTGGAAAACTGTGTAGAGGTGTGATTTCTGAGCTGAGTAAGTTTTGAGAAATGGCATTTCCAGTGTTAGAAATGACAGATTCAAAGGGACAGTGATATGTGATGGTGTGGTCTGTTCAGTGAACTCCAACTAATTCATTAGGATGGGGATGCAGGACAGAAGACTGGTAAGATAGACTAGAGAGGCAAGAAAAGGGGCCAAATATTGTATTACCGAGTTTTCTTATTAACTGATGTACCAAAAAATAGACTGTTCACAACTCTAAAGAATCTTGGACACTCATTGTAATTTTTCTTCCTTTAGAAAGGATTTTGGTTTTTTTAAATTTAATTTAATTTTATTATGTTATGTTATTCGGTTTTAATAGAAATCTTAAGATAAACCTTACATTTACCCCAGCATTTTTCTTTTATTTTTTATTTTTTATTTTTTTTTTAAAGATTTTATTTATTTTTTAGAGAGTGAGTGAGAGAGAAACAGCATGAGAGGGGAGAGGGTCAGAGGGAGAAGCAGGCTCCCCGCTGAACCAGGAGCCCGATATGGGACTCGATCCCAGGACCCTGGGATCATGACCTGAGCCGAAGGCAGACGCTTAACCATCTGAGCCACCCAGGCGCCCTACCCCAGCATTTTTCATATAGCACTAATGTCAGTTAACACTTTCATTCTAGTGTTAATATATTGTGACAAAGATTAAGTTTTTTTAGTTTAATGGCTATGTTGTAACTTTATCTTTTTCAGGTGAAAAATGTTTATTTCAAAAATTTCATACCTTTTATGAATTGGTAAATTCATAAAATAAATGATTGATAATTAGTGCCTCACTAAGATCGGGCAGGAACAATGATTAAACTTAATCAATGTGAATGACTGTTTTACCTAAAAAACTTAGACAAAAAATTTACATTTAACTGGATTTCTTCCTGCCACTCCTTTTGAAATGTGATTTTAGTTCTCTCAGGTTAGAAACCCTCAGACTTTAAAGTCATAGCAGAAGTCATGCCAGGTATTTGTCTGTTGGGCATTGGTTTTTAAATTATGATTAGAAAATTATGAATCAGAACTTGTAAAAGAATTACAGATTCTAGCAAATGAAGAAGTATCTGAGATTAGGAATACATTGTGCAAATGTGTTAATTGGGCTAATTAAATTGAGCTAATACTCTTGTCCAAGACACTTAACTAAAGGGAGTTAGAGTACATCAAACAATTTAGAAAAGGTAGAGAGAATATATAATCAAGAGGATTTGTTATGTTTGAAAAATATTTTTATATTGATAAGCATGGTGGAAGATTAGAAGTGAGGGATGTAGGGGATGTTTGGAGGATCTTGGCAATTATATAATAATACCTACTGTTTTGTGTTACTGGTGATCATTGTCTACATAAAATTCTAATGAACGGGATGCATACATAAAATCAGTTTAAAATTAGAGTTAAAAATAGGAATTTTTCACTTTTAGATATGCTTTATTTTTATTGCATGTGAACTCTGTATATTAGAAAATGAAGTGTATGTACAAAGAGTCTTTAAATCTGTACTTCTGTGAACTGAGAGATGTAATGATATGAAAAGGATACTCATCAGAATTGTTTTTTCTTTTGAGGTGGAAAGTCTCTCTAAACAATATGAAGAGATTTACCTTAAAAACAAAGATCTTGATGCAAGATTATTTCTAGATCATGATAAAACTCTTCAGGCTGATCCTGTAGACAGGTATTGTACATGGTCTAATTTTACTTGTTGAGATGCTTTTGCTATAGATTGATTTTAATATAGATAGATTAAATAGGTTTTTATTTAACTTCATGATCTTTAAATATCATTTATAATGTTACTTCAAGTGCCTTTCTATAAAGCTAATAATAAGGTAAATAGTATTCTAAGCATATAATATACAAATAGAGATTTAATGTGAATTGTCATCTCTAGCAACTATTTTTTTTTATTAAGCTGAATTTAATTTTAAAACGTGCACTAAAAGAAAATTGTTGAAGTAATTAGTTTACTTAAGTAGTGGTCTCTCTTTTTCCTACCCTTTCATCTGCTATTACTTGCTTGGTTCTTTTTTTTTTTTTAAATGTTAATACAAAAGTATATTCTCTTGAATTATCATGTAGAATTCTAAAGTAGATTGAGAGTAATTGCAAAAAATTTGAATGATTGTAAGTATGTTTATTTTATGTCTTTAGCATGATATCTTTTAATATTTAGCTGAAAATATATATAACTTATAGGTTAAATGCAAATAAAATGTTTCAAATTTTATTTAAGTCAAAGTAAATTTTTTGGAAGGCATAATGATTGAAAAACTTGAGCTTTGATATTTTTAAACACTGAACAGCTCGGTTCATAATACCATCTAACATCTAGAGATAGCATCTAACTTTCACTTTTAAAAAATTGTTAATGATTGGTGCACCTGTTTTTCATAAACTTAGTAGAAGAAACCCAACTGAAAAACAATGGTGAAGAACATAAAATTTTATTTAAGCAGCTTTTGGATCATCTGTTTCCTATCACTTCTGTTATTGACTTACCATTTTGTATGATGGTATGAAGGCAACAAGTAATATACTGCTCTTTTGACTCATAAAACACAAATTGTGCATTTTCAATCTGAATGACTTTGCTTATCATTATTTAGTTTTGAAATGCAGAGAACACCCCGAAAAAGTAACTCTGATGAAGAGATGAATGTGATTCTTCCACAGACTCCAGTTAGGTATGAATTTTCTTACTTTTGATTTTCATTATAATTATTTATTCAGTGCCTTATGAGTTTGTTCATCTGGTCTGTTACATATTTATGTATACATGCAACAAATATATATTGAGTGCTCTTTGCCTGCAAGGTATTTTACTAGTTGCTGAGGACATGATTATTAAACCTAGTTCTGTCTGTCCTTAAGGAGTAGAACCTAGAATGGGAATGTGTTTCATCTCAGTAAATAAAAAAGGAAAAAAATATATCATCACCCTTTGCTCTGCATACAACTTAGAAGGACTGAAACCATTTTTCTGTCCTTTTCCTCACTTCCCACATCTAACCTGCTTTTAAGTCTTATTGAATCTACCTTTAAAATATCTCTAGTCCATCTCCTGTCCTCCATTTGGACTCTCACCACTTTTGTCCAGGATCTCCTCCTCTTTATTTTGGATTTTTTGCAGCAGCCTACTAACTGATCTTGCTGCGTCTACTCTCCTCACTGTTCCTCTATCCCCACCACCAACTGTTTTCTCCAGAGAACCCCAGAATAATATTCTAGAAATGTAAGTTAGATCATGTTCACCCTGCTGTCCAACCTTTTGACTGCTTCCTGTTGCATTTGAAATATACATTCCTTCACAGTTCCTACAAAACCTTGCATGATCCAGCTTCTGTTGCCTTTCTAACCTCATCTTGTTTTCCTGCTCATGTGTACTAGCCAGTTTCCTGAATGCTTGAGGCTCTTCTTTTGTACTTGAGGACTTTCACACTTGCTTTTCCCTCTTCTTGAAACTCTTCCTTCTTTTTTTTTGCTTCTGAATTACCAACAGCTACTCTTCCTTCAGGTTCAGCACAAATACTACTTTTTAAAAGATTTCTCTCTGAAGTAATTTCCTTTATTCTTTCTCATAGTATCCTGTTCTATTTCTTCATAGTGTATATCACAATTTGTAATTAAAAATTAATTTGTATGTTTCCTTGTTTTTGCCAATACCCGTAATAGCCTTTAAGTTTGATACCATGTGGACCATGGCTTTTTTGTTCACCATTTACTAATTAGGACCTAGGATAATATTTGGTACATAGTGGGAAATCAGTAATATTTTTCAAATGACTATGCAGACATATAAAGATACATTTCTGTATAAGTGTAAAGTATAGTAATAAACTTTTGACAAACTAATGAGATGGCACAGAAAGGACTTAATAAAGGGACTTTATTGAACTGAATATTGAAACATGCAAGTCTGTGACACAGGAGAACACATTTTAGGGAGTAGGAATAGCATGTGCAAGGGCATGGGAGTAGAAAACACAACATGCTGTGTCTGGGGAACTATTAGCAGCTCTTTATTGACTCACTAAATGGGAAGATGAAATGGCAGGAGAGGAGGGATACTAGATCCTGAAGGGCCTAATATGCCATACCCATAAGTTTGGACTTTAGCTTGTGCATGATTTGGGCTATATATGGGTGTTAAATAGGGGTAAGGATAAAATTAGAGTTGATTTTTGAAAGTTTATGTGGTAGGAGTTTTTGAGGGGATGGACTAAGGAGGACATGGTGAGAATTAGACCTGTAAATCTGTCATAGTGGTTCTTAACCAAGGGTGGAAATTAGAGTAACCTGAGGAGGTTTTTTTCCAAACTACAGATGCCTAGACCCTACTACCATACATATAGTGAGTCAAAATCCCTGGACTGCTCTATTGCAGTAATTCAGTTGAGAAATGCTGAGGATCTGAACCAAGAGTAGGCAGTTGGAATGAAGGAACAAGAACAGGTTTGATAAATATTTGATGAATTCATACTTAGAATATTACTCATGAGGCATTTATGGGACATGAAGAAGCAGTAAGTAGTGGGATATAAGGATCTTACAGATCTGAGAACCATCTGGGGAAGTTAATACCATAAAAATAGATGAGTTTGCCTGAAGTAAAGGTATAATAGCAAGAATGGCTGGCTAAGGGCTGAGCCCTAAAGAATGCTAGCATTTATTTATTTATTTACTTAGTTCAGTTAGCCAACATATAGTACATCATTAGTTTTTGAGGTAGTGTTCAATGATTCATTAGTTGCATATAACACCCAGAATGCTAGCATTTAAATACTAGATAGAAGTTAAAAAGAACGAGAAGGCTGCCCAGAGAATGAAGCCAAAAAAGCCAGGGGATGGAGGGAATTTCAGGAAAAAGCAGGTGTTTGAGTGTCACGTACTTCAAGGAAATCAAGTATCGGAACAATTGAGAAAGATCTTTTGGTATTAGCTGCTAGTTATTTGTGGCTTTAGGCATAGTGGGCTTAAGTGGATTAGAAGATGTACAAGTTTTAGAAGCAATAATATTTGAAAGGTGAGGAAGTATAAATATCAGTTGAGAGAGGTATAATAGTTTGGTGTAATAATAAGGAAGATTAAAAAAAATCAGGAATGTTTGTCATCTTTTTTCCTAAATGGAAACTTTCACCAAAAGAGATTAAAAGACTTAAAGACAAGTTCTTTTTCCAAACTGAGCAAATGACATCGGTTCTAATTCTTCCTGAGGTTACAAAAATGAAAAAGAAAATGCTCACTGAACATGTTTACATTCTGTAGTTCTTTGTATCAATAAACAGTACCTACAATAGCAATGTACTGCTACTCCCAAAATTGGAACATTAGTGTTTACTATACAACACACACATACACACACACACACAATTATAGAATTAAAGAAATCTTAAGGGACTGACCCAATTTTATGCTTTAACAGTGTAGACTTCTAAAATTATGTATGCTTTCATCTGAAGACTTCTATAAAGGAAAGTCACATGCTTCTTCATTTGAATTACAATATATCCTACCATTTTTATTTGAAAAACTTTAATATTTGATTGTAATGATGTTTTCTTTTAAAATTGTCATTTTGATACCAGTTTATATGTTTTCTTCTTAAAATATCATTAATTTGGCCAATTAATGTTTTATTGAAATGCAGTTTTAGTAAATAAATATATCAGTTCTTCAATTACAAACTTAGTGATTATGAATATGTTCTTTCTTAAAGGTTTAAATAAAATGTAATTCCCTTTTGCAACTATGTGGATGGAACTAGAGGGTATTCTAAGCAAAATAAGTCAATCAGAGAAAGACAATTATCATAGGATCTCACTGATATGTGAAATTTAAGAAACAAAACAGAGGATTATAGGGGAAGAGAGGAAAAAATAAAACAAGCCGAAACCAGAGAGGGAGACAAACCATAAGAGACTCTTCATCGTAGGAAACAAACTGAGGGTTGCTGGAGGGGAGGTGGGTAGGAGGATGGGGTAATGGACATTAAGGGGTGATGGACATTAAGGAGGGAATGTGATGCAATGAACACTGCGTATTATATAAGACTGATGAATCACAGACCTGTACTTCTGAAACCAATAATACGCTGTATGTTAATTTAAAAAAAATGACAGAAAAAAATGTAATTCCTTGTAAGCAACAGTATACCAAGGGTTTTGTAAAATCTTATTTCAGAGAACTTCTTAAAGATAAACAGGATATAGTGAGTTTGAAAGATTCATTTAACTTGTGAAATAGGTGCATTTTGTTTATTTTCCTTCATTGCTTAATATTTCTTCCTTTTTTTTTTCTCTCTAGGACTGTTATGAATACTATCCAACAATTAATGATGATCTTAAATTCAGCAAGTGATCAACCAACAGAAAATCTGATTTCCTATTTTAATGTAAGCCATAAATAAAATGTTATGTTTGTGTTATCTTGAAAAAGAAATTTGAAATTAAAAGTTAAAATACTGAGAATTTTTTTAAGTATCTCCCAACCCAAATGTTCTTGTCTGTTACCTTACTTCTTGCTTTTTTGAACCCTCCAAATTAGATCTTGGTAGTATTGTATTATTTTGGTGTGTTATTTTTAGATTTTTTGCATGTTTGCTCTTTGCCTTGCTCATCATTCTTTCTTGCAACTTAGACCTCATTTCTGATTTCATTTTCTTTCTTCTTCAGATACATACTTTAATAATTCCTTTAGTGAGGGTTAGTTTGGGGTGAACTTACAAGGTTTTTGTCTTGTTTTTTGTCTTAAAGTATCTTTACTCTTACTTTTTGTAAGATAGTTTAGCTGAATCTTCAGTTCTAGATTGATGTTTACTTTCTCTTAGATATTTGTAGATAATACTTTACTATTCCTGGTTCTCCTTGTTGCTATTTAAGAAATCTGTGAATCTGGACTCCTGGGTGGCTCAGTTGGTTAAGCGACTGCCTTTGGCTGAGGTCATGATCCTGGAGTCTCAGGATCGAGTCTCTCATCGGGCTCCCTGCTCAGCAGGGAATCTGCTTTTCCCTCTGACCCTACCCCTCTTGTGCTCTCGCTCTCTCTCTCTCTCAAATAAACAAATAAAGTCTTTAAAAAAAAAAAAATCTGTGAATCTAACCATTGCTTTGTTATATATCTTTTCTGTCTGCTTTTTCGATCTTTTCTTTGAATGTGATACTAGGATTTAACATTTGTCATATCTCTACAGTCTTTTTTATCCTATATTTAGCCCATTTTTATTTACGTTTCTTGCCTGGACTTGTGTGCATTTTACAACTCCTGTAGACCCGAGTTTGACATCTGAAGGGCCACTCACTGCTATACGAACAAGGGAGCGAGAAGGAGATCGTGAAAACTAGCATCTGTGTTACTTGCTTGTTTCTTCACTCCTTATTTAAATTCAAATGAGGGTCAGGACTCACTGAAATGCTCATCCATGGATAAGGCCAGGAGAATTATTAAAATTTGGCTTATTCCAGTAACTCTGTATTTTGTGTAGTTAACATTTTATTTAATATCATAACCTCCCTGTGGCTTTGTCATATTCTGTTCTCATCTTCTTGCTTATATGCCTCCCAGGAATTAGCAAAGTAATTTCTGTCATCATATTCATAATTGTTTTGGCTCAGAACTGATTTTGTTTGTCCAAATTGCATGAAGTTACTTTTATTCATGGATTATCTTAGCACAACATTATTTCTCAAACATGGCTACTCAGTTACTTAGCACTTTTAGAAGGGATAATGATAGAAGTTGTAAGAATGATAATCTCTCTCTTCTCTCTGTCTCTCTTTTTTTAATTTCAAGTTTTAATTTAAATTCTAGTTAGTTAACATATAGTGTAATATTGGTTTCAGGAGTAGAATGCAGTGATTCATCACTTACATACAACACCCAGTGCTCATCACAACAAGTGCCCTCTTTAATACTCTAGAAGTCTCTTATAGTTTGTTTTCCTCTCTTTCTCTCCCCCCCCAACACTGCCCCCATAATCTCTCTTCTCAAATAAAATTTTGATTATTTCCTACAACATTTTGAGTATATAGGAGCTCTTTTTTTTATTTTGAGCTACTTTAGTTTGGCAAAAAATTCTGCCTCAAAGGCATTCTCTGGAGCTCAATGTGAAGTTTAACATTAAATGAAGCTTAACTACAGTTTTACATTGACTGCAAATTGCTTTGTCTAGAGAGTGGGCATGTCTGGAAGATCAGTAAGTTTTTCTTTGAGTTTACTTTTTTGTTCAGGTTTCTTTATTTCTAAAATTAATGCCATCTTTTCTTCTGTAAGTAAAATCTTAGAAGCTGTAGACATTTAAATGAATGTTTTGGTAACAATGACTTTATGACAGGAGGTGCTTCTTTGTTACTGTTTCTGTGATATCTGTGCTGTTTTCTTTTAGGAAGACAGAATTATTGATTTTATAGGATGTGAAATTTTTGAATGACAGTGTTCACATTTCAAAGAAAATTATACTTAATCTTAGTTTTGGAAAGTTTATAGTATTTTGAATGTATTTGATATATAAAGATTATAAAAATAAAGTCAATCTTTGGTTGTAGCTGAAAGGAATCAGTTTTTTGATTTTTAATAGATTACAATATCAGTTACAGAGTATTTTAATATATCATAATATGCATTTTAGTAATCATCTTGTGATGTATTTTAATTATTAAATATAGTCCCACCCCATATGATACATGTATTGAAACTTCTTTTGTAACCATTTCTTAATCATGTGTTTCTGAAAAGGTATCTAAATGATAAAATAATTCTTAACTCTTTGAAAGCACAGTTTTAAATTAGGAAATGCTACCAATCTCCAATCTTAGTTTTATTATTATTATTTATTATTTTTATTTGTATTTTTTTATTATTTGTATATTTTTAGGGTAATGTACATCCCAATATAACTCTTAATTGAAGATAATTTATGAGAATATAAGAGATTCTTTATTTTAATAGTGGTGTTGTTATAATTGTTTCATTTTTAGTTTTTTTTTGTTGGAGTATAATTGACATACAGTATTTTGTTAGTTTCAGTTATACAACATAATGACTTGATATTTGTATATACTGCAAAATAATCACCATAGTAAGTCTGGTTAACACATCATCATACATTAGAAATTAGAAATTTTTAGGGGCGCCTGGGTGGCTCAGTCGTTAAGCGTCTGCCTTCGGCTCGGGTCGTGATCCCAGGGTCCTGGGATCGAGCCCCACATTGGGCTCCCTGCTCCGCGGGAAGCCTGCTTCTCCCTCTCCCACTCCCCCTGCTTGTGTTCCCTCTCTCGCTGTGTCTCTCTCTGTCAAATAAATAAATAAAATCTTAAAAAAAAAAAAAAAGAAATTAGAAATTTTTAAAAAAATTTTTTATTATGTTAATCCCCATACATTACATCATTAGTTTTAGATGTAGTGTTCCATGATTCATTGTTTGTGCATAACACCCAGTGCTCCATGCAGAACGTGCCCTCCTCAATACCCATCACCAGGCTAACCCATCCTCCCACCCCCCTCCCCTCTAGAACCTTCAGTTTGTTTTTCAGAGTCCATCGTCTCTCATGGTTCGTCTATCCCTCTGATTTCTTATGATGAGGACTTTTAAGATTTACTCTGTTAGCAACTTTCAAATATATAATACAGTATTATTAGTTACAGTCATCATGCTGTATATTACATCTTCATGACTTACTTATTTTATAACTGTAAGTTTGTAACTCTTTACAGCCTTCACCCATTTTGCCCACCCCTATACCCTGCTCCGGCAATATAAGTCTGTTTTCTGTATCTATGAGCTTGGTATTTGTGGCTGGTTTCTTTTTTTTTTCTTCCAGAGTCCACATATAAGTATGATCTTATGGTATTTGGCTTTCTCTGTCTGATTTATTTCACTTGGCGTAATGCCCTGACAGTCCATACATGTCACAAATGGCAAGATTTCATTCTTTTTTGTGGATGAATAACCTTCTGTTTTATACACACACACACACGTGTGTGTGCATTATCCATTCATCCATCAATGGACACTTAGGCTGTTTCCATGTTTTGGCTATTGTAAATAATGCTGCACTGAGAATGGGGTATAGATATCTTTTTGAGTTAGTGTTTTTGTTTCCTTCAGATAAATACCCAGAAGTGGAATTGCTGGATCATATAGTACTGTTTTTAATTTTCTGAGGAACTTCTGTACTGTTTTTCATAATGACTGTACCAATTTACAATCCCCACCAACAGTGCATGAGCCGCCCTTTTCTCCATATCCTTGTCAACACTCGTTTATTTCTTGTCTTTATAATTCTAGCCATTTCTGACAGTTCTAAGGTGGTATTTCATTGTGATTTCCATTTCCCTGATGATTAGTGATTTTGAACATCTTTTCATGTGTTGGTTGACCATCTGTATGTCTTCTTTGGAAGAATGTCTATTCAGGTCCTCTGCCTTTTTTTAACCAACTGAGCCACCCAGGCACCCTCTCTGCCTTTTTTTAAAAATCAGGTTATTTGTTGAGTTGTGTGAGTTCTTTATGTATTTTGAATATTAACCCCTTATTGAATATATGATTTGCAAATATCTTCTTTCATTCAGTAGGCTTAGTAGTGGTGTTGTTATAATTGTTTCATTTTTAGGTTTTTTTTGTTGGAGTATAATTGACATACAACATTTTGTTAGTTCCTTTTTGTTTTATTGGTGGTGTTCTTCCCTGTGCAGAATTTTTTTATTTTGATATAGTCCCAATTGTTTATTTTTGCTTTTGTTGCTTTTACTTTTGGTGTTAGATTCAGAAAATCAGATCTTGAAGACCAATGTCAAGGAGCTTATCTCCTGTGTTTTCTTCTAGGAGTTTTATGGTTTCAGATCTTACATTTAGGTTTTTAATTTACATTGAGTTCATTTTTGTATATTATGTAAGATATGGTCATTTCATTCTTTTTCATGTGGCTGTCCAGTTTCCCCAGCACTGTTTATTGAAGAGACTGTCCTTTTCCCATTGTATATTCTTGCCTCCTTTGTCACAAATCAATTGACTGTATTCTTGAGTTTCTTTTTGGGCTCTCTATTCTATCCCACCAATCTGTGTGTCTGTTTTGTGCCAATACCATACTGTTTTGATTACCGTAGCTTTGTAATATAGTTTGAAATCAGATAGTATGATGCCTCTAGCTTTGTTCTCAAAGATTGCTTCAGCTATTTGGAATCTTCTGTTGCATACAAATTTTTGGATTGTTTGTTTTATTTCTGTGTAAAAGCCATTGGAATTTTGATAGGGATTACATTGAATCTATAGATTGCTTTGGGTAGTATGGACATTTTTAACAATATTAATCCTTCCAGCCTATGAGCATGGGATATCTTTGCATTTATTTCTATCTTCTTCAGTTTCTTTCATCAGTGCCTTATAATTTTCCATGTACAGGTTTTTCACCTCCTTACTTAAATTTATTCCTAGGTATTTTATTCTTTTAGGTGCAATTGTAAATGGGATTGTATTTTAAAGATTTTATTTATTTATTTGACAGAGAGAAAGGCAGGGAGAGAGGGAACACAAGCAGGGGGAGCAGCAGAGGGAGAAGCAGGCTTCCCGTGGAGCAGGGAGCCCGATGCGGGGCTCGACCCCAGGACCCTGGGATCATGACCTGAGCTGAAGGCAGATGCCTAATGACTGAGCCACCCAGGTGCCACCTGGGATTGTATTCTTAATTTCTCTTGTTAGTTCATTATTAGTGCATAGAAACAAACCTGATTTCTGTATACTGATTTTGTATCCTGCAACTTTACTGAACTAGTTTATTCTAACAATTTTTTGATGGAGTCTTTAGGGTTTTTTATATATAATATGTCCTGTGTCAATAGACACAGTTTTATTTCTTCCTTTCCAATTTGGATGCCTCTTCATTTTCTTGCCAGATTGCTCTGGCTAGGACTTTCAATACTATGTTGAATAAGGGGACAATGGGCATCTTTGTCTTGTTTCTGATCTAACAGGACAATCTGTCAGCTTTTCACTGTTGACTATGATATTAGCTGTGGGCTTATCATATATGGCCTTTATTATGTTGAAGTATATTCCCTCTATACCCGCTTTGTTGGAGAGTTTTTATCATAAATGGATGTTGAATTTTGTCAAGTGTTTTCTGCATCTATTAAGATGATCATATTGAGATGATCATAGGATTTTTATCCTTCATTTTGTTAATGTATCACATTGATTTGTGAGTGTTGAACCATCCTGGCATCTCTGGAATAAATCTCACCTGATTGTGGTATATGATTCTTTAATGCATTGTTGAATTTGGTTTGCTAATAGTTTGTTGAGGATTTTTGCATTTACATTCATTAGGGATATTGGCTATAATTTTCTTTTCTTGTGATGTCCTGGTCTGGTTTTGATTTCAGGGTGATGCTAGCCTTGTGTGTTTGAAAGTGTTCCCTCCTCTTCTGTTTTTTGGAGGACTTTGAGAAGTTTTATTATTCTTTTTTGAATGTTTGGTAAAATTTATCAGTGAAGCTGTCTGACTTTTGTTTCTTGGGACGTTTTTGATTATTGATTCACTCTCCTTACTAGTAATCAGTCTGTTCATATTTTCTGTTTCTTCATGGTTCAGATTTGGTAGGCTGTATGTTTCTAGGAATCTATCCTTTTCTTTTAGGTTTTCTAGTTTGTTGGTGTATAACTGTTCATAGTAGTCAATTATGATCCTTTGCATTTCCATGGTATTAGTTTCTAATATCTATGAGACTTTTTTTGGTGGGTGGAAAGGCTAACAAATCTGTTCTTTAACTTAGCAGCAGAAAATTCAGATAATAGGGTTTTTTATTTGTACTTTAGTATTTTTTGGTCACTAACATCCTAAAATGGAATTCTTTATGTTCTTCTTATTTTCAGTAGTCATGTTTACCTAGTTTTTGTGGAGGTGTTTCCATGGTATAAATAATTGAAAGTGAAAAGTTATATCTTATAGGACAGAAAATGTTAATTCTGATTAAACAATATCCTCAACATTGATTTATATTTTTCCTCTTTAAAGAACTGCACAGTGAATCCAAAGGAAAGTATCCTGAAAAGAGTGAAGGATGTTGGATACATCTTTAAAGAGAAATTTGCTAAAGCTGTAGGACAGGGATGTATGGAAATTGGATCACAGGTAACGAGTTTATTTTGATTAGTGTCACTATATGGTAAATAACCTCAAATGAAATATCTTTCCAAATTATAAAGGTATTATGATAGTATTGGTCCTATATTAGTAGATTCTGTATCTCAGCTGCCTGTGTATGCTGCTGTTTATGAAAAGCTTTATAAGAAAATGCCCCTTACACCATTACAGAAACCAAAAGTAAACATGTATAGAAAGTTTTAGAAAAAATGTAGACATTTAAAAAATATAAGTACAAGAAAATTAAAATCTTTGATGCTATTAAATTTTTTGTATATATTCTTTGGCTTCTGTATATATGAATATTCATGAATGCATATACTTAGATAAATGGGATCATATACATGCTATTTATTGGTGATATTATTGAGTGATATTAATTTTACTATTACTATTATTATTTCAGAAAATCTAAAACCTATACATTGGGTAAAAGTATGGGCTCTGAATCAGAACCCTGGGTTTATATTTGGTTCTATCATTTATGAGCTGTCATTTAACTTCTCTGAGATTCAAGTTTCTATATTTGTTCTGCTTTGTTGTATGGAATTAGTGAGATAACATATAAAAATATGTTTGAAAACTGTTATCTACTATATACATTTATTTCAGTGTAGTGAGGTTATATTTTGATGCTAACCATGTTTTAAATAATAGTATTTAGAAGTCTTTTTGGTTGTATATGAAATTTATGCTTATAATTTGAATGAAGGAATATGGTTTGTGTGTGCCTATCTAAAATTTGGTTATTCTTTGAACTAATGGGAATTATTTATTTGGTTAAAACTTTTTGCTGATAAGATCAGTTGGGTTCAATTTTTGCCTTTGCCAGTTTTATGGACAGACTATTCTCTATCCTGGAGAGTTATCTTGAAAATATTTCCTAGGCTGCAAGAAGTATTACGTTATTATGTAAAATGGTTAGTAAGTACCAGGTGTATAACATATCCTCTGTGTGTGTGTGTGTGTGTGTCTTGAATGTTGTAGACTGGAGTGGAATGAGGGAAAAGGAAAACCAAGTACTGGACCTTCCCTCTTGATAATTTATTGGGAATATTAACCATCATTTTATATGGAAATCTTGAGTTTTAGACAAGCTAGCTTTTGTGATCTCTTGGTATTCATATTCCTAAAAATTATCAGAAATATGTTTTTAAGAGAAACCTCCTTAAAAATTAATAATTGTGATTTTCTAAAGTAGTGGAATCTAATTTTTTTTTCTTTGTAGCGATACAAACTTGGAGTCCGATTGTATTACCGAGTAATGGAATCCATGCTTAAATCAGTAAGTTAAAAAGAACATAATAGAAAAAAAAATTCAATGCTGACACAAAAAAGGCATCAGCTAAACATTTTTTTATCTGTTTTAGGAAGAAGAACGATTATCCATTCAAAATTTTAGGTAAATTCTTTAGTTTTAGTAAAACAATTCCTTCTTTTTTATAAAAGTAAATGTTTCAAAATCATTCTTTTCTTTTCCTTTAGCAAACTCCTGAATGACAACATCTTTCATATGTCTTTATTGGCATGCGCTCTTGAGGTTGTAATGGCTACATATAGCAGTAAGTTAAATTTTAGTAAATAAACATTTTAGTTCAATTTAAAGTTAAAAAAAAACTTATCTAAGGTGTGATGTGTTTTTTGGGGGGGGGTGGAGTTAAGGAGACAGTATGCATAATATAGGTCAATATATACTGAAGAATGTAAGTAGTCACCATAAATCATTTAAATGGGTTATTATCTGAACCATTTCAGGTCATCATGGAAATAGTACTTCACTAGGCTCTTATTCTTGGCTATCCTGAGTCTAGGAAATGAACCTATTGAAATCCCTTCCAAGACAGGAGATTGTAAATTACCAAAGGAGTGCTAACAAATAGCATTTACCTATATGGAAACACTGCTATAGATTCTGTGGTCATGAAACCAAACGTTAGAGCTAGAGTCTACCAGATAAACAGAACAGAGGCCACTCATGGTATTTTCTTTTAAATATAATTTTAGACATATAGTATTGTTTTGCAAATAATGTTAACAAATATAAGAAGTTTTGTTTGCAAAAACAAAGAAAATTTACCTAAGGATACAAATACACAATAAAAGAGAAACATGTATGGAAAACTATGAATCCTCATTAATAACCAAAAAGTGCACATTTAAAAGAGTAACCATTTTCTAACCAAATTAGCAAAATCTTAAAGAGTCCTTCCCTCCCCACATCCGGGGTTAATGAGACTGTGAAAATGGATATGCTAATGCATTGCTGCTTAGATATTAAACCCGTTCCTGATATAAGTTTAGAGTATTTAACCTTTGAAAATTTGATATAAGCATGAGCCCTCTATTTAGGAAAAACATATGTGCACATACACTCAGAATTTAGAAGCCTATTTCCTACGAGTCTATGGAAAAATTTCTGCTCTAGGGATGCCTGACTGGCTCAGTCAGTAGAGCACACAACTTTCCATCTCATGGTCGTGAATTCAAGTCCCATGTTGGGCATGGAGACAAATACTTAAAATAAATTTAAAAAACAAAATTAAAAAAAAAAATCTGCTTTAAATAAAAATTTTTGTTTAGCTTTTCTGCTGTTTTAAAATTTTTGTTTGATAAAACCTTCCAAACTGAAAATACGTAATTCAAGGCTTAACATTTCATACCTAAGTTACATTTTTTCTTTCATTTTTAGGAAGTACATCTCAGAATCTTGATACTGGAACAGATTTGTCCTTCCCATGGATTCTGAATGTACTTAATTTAAAAGCCTTTGATTTTTACAAAGTGATTGAAAGTTTTATCAAAGCAGAAGCCAACTTGACCAGAGAAATGATAAAACATTTAGAACGATGTGAACATCGAATCATGGAATCACTTGCATGGCTCTCTGTAAGTAACTAGCTAAAATAATTAAAGATATTAATATGCAAATGGATAACAGTTATCTGTTAGTGAGTGGTATTTGTTAAAATTTACCTCAAGAGCACATATGCAATTTAATGAATAATGCAATTTCAGTGTATAGCCCAAGAGTTAAGTGGAATATTAAGATGGAGTTTTCTTTTACTTGGGCTCCCCAGACCATCTGATACAATGATTTATTTAGGAATAGCTTTAATGAAAACATGGCACTTTAAAACAAAGCAGAATTCCTTAAAGTATTTGAGCAGTATATTTAAAATAGAGGTGTCATGTTTGAAAATTTAAATGCTGTTAAATTCCAACAAAATGGTAAAAATTGGGATTATGCTATTTAGGTGATTTAACAAAGTACAGTTTTCTGGTTCAATTTATTTGTATTTCTTTTTGTTCTATCATTAAAGATAGTCCAAAAATCTGCACTATAGTTCAGTTATTGTCCATAGCATTATAGGAGCACAAATCATATTCTCTAGGTATTCTATTTATAGCATATAAGCTATTGATAAGGCTTTTGTTTCATAAAGATGGCATTTTCTATGTAGTAATAGTAAAATACTTATTTGAAGTTCTTCTGTGTTACGCTTTTTAAATCTGCATGGTTGGGTAATTGTGACTCATCAGATTTGTAGATTAATATAGAGTTGGTTTCTTTTGAAACTGTGTTGCATGCTAAGCATATCACTTTTTCATTTATGACAGTATATAGAAATGGCCATGAAAACATTAAGACTTTAGTTACACTAGAATTCTAATCTGTACATGTAACCCTTAGTTTTAATTTTTTAATGTTTTAAAAACTTAATGGCTAAGAGATAACTTATTTCTTAGTTATTGCAGTGCTTGCAGTGCTGTGTGAACAGAGTAGACAGAACAGGAGAGAAGTAGGGGAAGTTGACAGGAAGCGGTGGCATTGCTGTAATTGAATTTAATGTGACTCCATCATACAGGAGCTTCTACTTTATAAGAAAAGACGTGTTTAGAAATCTAGGAGATTTCTGGGGGATTAAATGAGAATGACAAAAATGAATCAGTAGACAAATAAATATAATAAGAAGTACTGTTCAGAGGCTCATGTGCCCTCTCCTTCTAGACATTGAAATCAAGACATTACTGTATCAAATGAAAGTGACTGTTTTTATTTCTTTTAGAGAATTATTTTTTTCCCCATCAGTACACGTCTACAGCATGGCTTGCATTGGGGTAGACATTGTGAAGATACAGAAAAGATGTGGGCTGTAAAAATTGTGGAGGAAATAGAAATTTACTGTTTATGAGTTGCTTGTGCTCAAGCCTGTTTAGTTCAATTACTGGTGTTCTAGGATTCTAAACAATATCCCTTTATTTTTGAGAATTTTTGGAGAAAAAGTGACATGTCCAAAGTCAGGAGAAATTTTAATTTATTAATAGGATGTGGAAGTCATAAGCCTCTACTATCTCTAGAGGATAAAATTATAGATGATTTTTATTGTCATATATTTTTAATGTTTGAACTTTTAAAAACTTTTTTTACTTTTAAAATTTTTACTTTTTTAATCATTAAGGGAATAGGTTAAGTGTGAAGATAAGTCATACCACACAAATAAAATACTGTGAATTTTTCCTAAGAGAAAAATTGACATTTTAGAGAAGGTACATACCATAGATATATTTGAGCTTTCACAAACCTTTTTTTTTTTAACTGAAGTGTAACATATATACAGAAAAGTATATATTACAAGTTTATAGTTTGATGAATTTTTCATAAATTGAACACACTCCTGTTACCAGCACCCAGATCAAGAATCAGAGCAAACTTCAATAGTCTTTTGATTCTGTATCACAATAAGAATTTTTCATTAAACTGTAGATTCAAACAGTATTGTTTATCTAGGGAAATATCAAGTGAGGTACTACTTACTTTTTCTTCCCAATAATTTAATAAAAGAAAGAACATCATCGTGTTTTTAATGGTTGCATGGGGAAGGGTTCCGGCATCTTTGCTTCACAATCTTGAGAAATAATAAATCAAGAATAGAGTAACTTGAAGGAAAAAGCACACCTTTCTTTGTTTTGGTCCCAGAGAGATTAACAGGCAATATATAAGTATAAAATGCTAAATAAACAATCTATTGAAAAACCTGGTGAAATCTTGTTCCCTGGAAATTTAAGGGAATTAGAGTGATTCAGAACAAACCATACCTAAGGGTTAGATTAAATGACTTCCAGATGTTCATGCCTTTTAAATCTGTTAAGCAGTTTATAATGCCAGCAGATAATGAAATGAGATTTGGATCTTTTAATATATTCAAAATTCATTAGATTTTTCTCAAAAAAAAAAAAAGCTTAATAAACCAAGATACACTAGGTACTTTATTTTCTAAATGGTCTCTCTTCCCGGGAATATTGTGGACTCTTCCTATTGATCTCCCTGCATCTCTAACTACCTTAAGACTATTTCTCTGGCAGCAACCAGAGAAATCTTTTTTAAAATGCAAGTATCGGGCGCCTGGGTGGCTCAGATGGTTAAGCGTCTGCCTTCGGCTCAGGTCATGGTCCCAGAGTCCTGGGATCGAGTCCCGCATCGGGCTCCCCGCTCTGTGGGAAGTCTGCTTCTCCCTCTGCCTCTCTCTCTCTCTCACTCTCATGAATGAATAAATAAAATCTTAAAAAATAAAAAAATAAAATGCAAGTATCATCATGCTAACTCAAAAACCTGTGAGGGACCTATGCATCTGGTGATGGTGGAGGAAGACCCAACCATATGACTCCCCTCAAAAAAGACAGTTATAAAACCTCTACATGATTTGGAAAGCAACTGCCTGAAATCTCTGGACAGGAAGAGAAGACAGACTCTTCAGGAGAGAAGAGAAGCTCAGAGCCTGGGAAGGAAGCTTTTAGCCCAGGGCTAAGTGGGGAAGTGAAATAGGACAAGGAGGGGGTGGTGCAAGTGAGAAGAAAACTGCAGGCTTTCTGGCCGGGGCCAACGAAGAAAACAGAAGCTGGGGAAACCTTGGCTACTGAAGAGAGTGGACAAATCCTGTCTACCCACTTCTCTGTGTGAAAACTGAATTATTGCAGTGTAATGGATTAACAGCTTAATGAAAGAAGATCTGAACTGAGACAGGAGCTGCTGCCCAAATAAAAAGTTTACAGATCCAAGTCAGTGAAAATAATTACATGCTTTTGCCTATTTGAGAAAAAAAATAACAGAATCCAGAAATCTTTACAACTTAACATTTATGATGTCCAGGATACAATTCTAAAATTACCCAGCATATTAAGAGGGTCAACAAGGAAGCCACTGGTGATGGTAGCAAGGACTGTTACATAGAAGTAATGGAGGCAGGAATAGATTGCTGTGGGATTTTGATGAGATGTGAATGAGGGATAAAGTGGAGACAGTGATTGTGGATAGCTTTTTACTGGAGTCTTGTTTGTGAAGGGAAATAAAGATATAGCTGCCAAGTGTGTGAGGTGGAGGGAAGATTATTTTTTAAGATGGGAAAGGTAGGATTAAATGTGGATGGAAAAGAGCCATTATGAGTGTTCTGTGTTGCAGGATGACACATTAGTGGCTTAAAACAACCATTTTATTTTGCTCATGATTCTCTGGGTCAGGGATTTGGGAAGAGCTTGACTAGGCAGTTCATCCTTGACTGTGTGGTGTCAGGGACAAGATCTACTTCCATGATGCTTCTATTTTTTCTTTTTTGCCTTTTTAGAGAGGGAGAGTTTGGGGGCAGAGGGAAAGAGAGAGAATCCTAAGCAGGCTCCACGCCCAGTGTGGAGGCCAACATGGGGCTCAATCTCACAACCCTAATAACGTGACCTGAGCTGAAATCAAGAGTCCAATGCCCAACCAGTTGAGCCACCCAGGCGCCTCTCCATGATGTTTCTTCATTCACAAATCTGGCCCCTCGTTTCCCCTCATTACATGGTCACCTTTTCTTTCCTTCCCTTCCTACTCTAGGTGGCATCTCATCCTCCTGGCCTTCTCATATGAGAAGCTATGCATCGTATAGCATTTTGGTTTCAGGATACTCATGCATCTTACATAGCAGCTGGCTTCCAAAAGGCTTCTGAAAGGACTATAGCTGGAAGCTCTGTTTTATTGGTGAGAGTAGTCACAGGGCCTGTCCAGATTCAAGGGGTTCCCTTGAATAGATGTCATCTCTTGTTTGAGGAGAGGCAGGGTGGGATGGGAAATACTGTGTGGCAAATGGAAAGAATGGAAGCAGTTACAAGTAAGGTATGTGGGTGCCATGGCAGAAAAATGAGGAACTTTCCATCGTATGGCTTTTATTTATTTCTTTTTTTTTTATAAAATAGAGCTGATGTAATTTGCTGAAGGTGGGTTGATGGGTTGGGGTAGGGAGTGCAAAGTGGTGTAGTCAGAAGTTTGAGGAGAGTGGTCACAATTTTAAATTGTTGCTGAGGAGAATAATAGAACTGAGTGATGAAAGATACGAGGATTGCCTAGCAGCACTGAAGGAAATGTTGAAGGTATAAATTTTAAATTTGTAGTGCCACTCCCGTTCTTTGTGGTGGCATTATTTTTTCCAGCATCACCTAGCAGCCAGTTGTAAGATTAGAAAAAATGAACAGCTAGATTGACCCAGGATTTTGGGCTTTGCCTACACAGATGCAGTCGAGTGATAATGGGGCAAATAAGATGAGGAAGTTGGTCAGAGTGATTAAAGTGGTATGGTTGTAGTTTCAGTTGCATAGAGGACATAGGAGGAGACTGATGAACAAAGTCGAAGTTTTAAGAAACAGCTTTTATTGGGGCGCCTGGGTGGCTCAATCGGGTTAAGCAACTGCCTTCGGCTCACATTAGGATCTCTGGGTCCTGGGTTAGAGCCCCGCATCAGGCTTCTTGCTCAGTTGGAGTCTGCTTCTCTCTCTCTATCCCTCTGCTCCGCCCCCCCTTCTCTCTCTCTCTCTCAAATAAATAAAATCTTATTAAAAAAGAAACAGCTTTTATTTTA